CCCCCCCCCCCCCCTCTCCGCCTCCACCTATTGATGCTATTAAGGCGGGTTTGTCAGAGCAGCGCCGGAATCAAGCCGCCAGAGACGCCATCATCCCTGCCTCTCGCTCTCGACCGACTTGTTGTGACGCAGACATAAAACACCGAGATAGAGTGGGAGGGAGATACCGATAGAAAGGAACGGGGGGGGTCCGGAGGTGGAAGGGGGGTGCGTCCGCGGGGAGAGCACCTTCCCGTCTGAGAGACTGACCCTAAATCGTTGTGACAAGGTGGGATTGTGATGTCTGGCAGCGGGAGGGAGGGACGGCGGCGGAAGCAGCGCGCGCAGCGGCGGGGGCCAATTAAGTGGCCAATTAATGAGTTTAGCCGCCTCATTAATTGGGCTCGAACAAGAGGGACCAGCAGAGTTTAGGAAACCCGAGGGGGAAAGTTTTTAAACTGAGATGCTCGAGCAAGCAGCGCCGAACACTTGAGCTTGTCTCTGCCAGTATAAATGATATCCTCCGTTTTATATCAAACTAAAAGGAATTAAAGTGGTGTGTTTGCTGTCTTTATTAAAGGGGACATTAAAGGGGTGATTGGACATTATACCAACTCTTCTGAGTCAGGTTTAGAATGCCACTTATAATATCACAGCAGACTTGCAGGTATAATGATCTCACTCATATGCATCACATAAATTCTGACACTGTATTTTTATTCCTTATTCGTTTTTCTTTCAACAAATTATGCCATTTTAAATTTCGAATAAGCTCTCCAGTACTTTGTGCTCCAAACTGGACAAATATAGGCTCCCACATCTGCAGGACAGATGTGACACCCAGAGGTTCATCTCCTCTCACGAGACATCCGGGATGTAATTTAACGTGTGATGGAAAATATTGTTCACACAAAACAAATTATGGAACTGGTTACACCGGCTTAAGTCTTAAGATATTTGCCACAATCAATGCAGACTGCTATTCCCATACAGCCTTAACAAATTAGGATCCAGTCATAAACCAAACATGCTCGTTGCTGAATTTATATTAAATGCAAGAAAACATGTTTACTGCTTCGAAACAAAGGCAAACAAGAGGCCCAAACTGCTTTAAGAGAGTCACAGACACGTTGTTAAATTATAACAATGCTCAATTAAGGCTACAGTAGATTGTACTCACAGTTAAGTTGCTTTGGAAGAATAACACATGTTGGTGACAGGCGCATGTATCCAAGCCAAGGTTTTGTTTGTTTATTTGTGTGTCTTTTCTTGTTTATTGATGTCTTACACATTACTCACACCAGCCAAGCGTGTGGCAACACCGCCGTGCGGTTCAAAATGGCCTCTGGCAGATTAACAAGTGGTGGAGTGCCAATTTCCTACTGTTGCCACTAGGTGGCGAGCAAATACAAGGACAACGTCCTGCGCTTCAGTCTGAGAGATGTGCAGGGTCATTGAGTTGAGACTGAAGGGACCGGACGATATGATGAGATAAGACACGAGGACCCAACCTGGAGGTCAGGACCAGTGGTGGAATGTAGCTGAGTACATTTATTCAAGTACTGTACTTAAGTACAATTGTGAGTTACTTGTACTTTACTGAAGTATTTCCATTTTCTTCTGTGTATACTTCTACTCCACTACATATTGACAGCATTAGTTACCAGTTACTATGCAGATTAATATTCTTAATACAATAAATAAAACTAATACATGATGTATTATGATGGTTTATACTACAGAGTAGTATCAAAAGTAGATCAAATGGGCCCCACATTTTAGCTGCAACATTAAACAGATGAAAGTACTAATTATAATGCAATGTTATAATATATATTATTCTGAAATGGGCCATTCAGCATAATAAGTACTTTTACTTTTGGTACTTTAACTACACTTTGATGCTAAAACCTATTTACATTCCGGTATTGCCACTTTTACTCACAAGATCTGACTTTTTCCACTACTGGGCAGGACGTGCTGAGGGCCTTACAACATTTTATTTTTTCTCTTGAAATGCTGTAGAGTTGTACCTCCTCAGGATTCTAAAAAACGATTAAAATGAAAGGACGACAACATTACTCTTTGGTTAGGCATCGCTTGGCTTTAAAGAGCCCCAAACCTGAAAGGTTCTAAAACCAGTATGGTATCATATGACTTGGAAATAATGTGATTTGTATAAATTATAGCATGTATGTGTTTTGAAGTATGTGTGTCTTTGTGTTGTTTCTGGTCATTTTTTCCTCTTTGTTTTGTCAGTGAAACACGCAGTTTCAACTGTCCATAATGTGGCCTTGGTTGGTCTTATGTTTGCAGTCAGTCCCACTCATAATGGCCCACCAGTTGAGGTAGACAACAACAACAACAACAACAACAACAACAACAACAACAAGCCAGTCCTTTGACAATGTAGAGAGAGCATCAGCCAATTAATCAAAGATCGTTAGGAGAGTTAAGCATGATACTGTCCGGATTAGTGTCATATGTCTTGAGACTCATAGGCGCACGCCCTCACACACACACACACACGCATACACACACATAGACACTCACACACACACTATTGCACTTTGATTTGACGTCCTTGTAAAGCTGGAGAGTTTTACAGCCCAAGAGGCATAACATTTTTACAAGGTGATCATTTCTTTGGGTGGGTGGGTGGGGCAGTACGGTTAAATTCAGTGTCATTTCAATGTCAGTGGCGGAATATTATTGTTGGGTAATCTAATCTGTACCAATGAGCCACGTCTACTGATGCTCACCCTTTTTGTGCATAAAGGCTATTTTGCAAAGTAATTTGGGATTATGTTATAGCTGTCAAATAAATGTAGAGGAGTATAAAAAGTGCAATACTTGCATCTCAAGTGTAGTTGAGGAGGATTATAAAGTGGAAATACTTGATGCCTGTGGGTTCTTGGATATATGGTTATGTCACATAGGAATTGCTGAGGTGAGGTTAAGATGTCACAGAAAAGCGTGCGGACTGTCTGCGTGTACGTGCGCGCATGCCAATCGTGCGGAAACGCGTCTGTGCTGGGAATGTCTCCCTCTTCCGTCCCCGAAGTCACATTTACCCGGAGGGGCGCCAGTGTGCTGTGTCACACCGTGTACCACACCGGAGAGCTGTTGCCAAAGCGCTGACTGCACAACATACAGGAACTGCGACGTCAGAGAGAGAGAGAGAGAGCGAGAGGGGAGGGGGAGAGGGGAGGGGGAGAGAGGAGGAGGAGGAGGAGGAGGTAGTTTGCGGCATGGGCCAAAGTGCGCTATCAGCTGCTGAAGGCTGGTCAGAGGAGCGGTGCGGGGACACCGGATAGAGGGGGAGAGTGAGAGAGAGTGAGAGAGAGAGGGAGAGAGAGAGAGAGAGAGAGAGAGAGAGAGAGAGAGAGAGAGAGAGAGAGAGAAAGGGTGGCGAGCGAAGCGGTGGACGGACACTCTCTCGTCGTAGTTGACGGTGTCGGTGGTACAGATGGGCGCGACTCTCAGCTGATCCAGCAGCAACCAGCGGTCACCCCGATGCTGCCCGAAACCCGCCGACCACAGTTGGAGAACCCACATCTTGCGGATGACACTTGGCTATAAGTAAGTTGAATTACCACAGAGCTTCCCTCATTTCTCTTCCTCTATTTGGTTAATTTGAACGCCTGTTTGTTTTTTTTTAAACATTTCCACGGCCTTCATGTCACTGAGTGACTCATGTAGGAAGTAAATGTCCCCATTTGTCACTCTATAGCAGAGTATCGTCCCGCACAAACTTCTACAGCCCCTCTCACTGTCGGGCTTCATAATCATCATCATCATCATCATCGTTATTTACATTGTTTCAGAAGCTATCATTGGCACTGTGCATAACTTTAGCACCACCCTATGGCAGCATTTATTGAGCAGAAAATAGAGCATTATGGGGTGTGCCTTAACTGTAACCTAGTTACAGCTGTGCAGTGTGTGTGTGTGTGTGTGTGTCTACACCTCAGTCATATGTTTGCTTTGGTCAGAGCCAGTGAATAGCAGGCATTCAGACCTCTGCATGGCCGTTGGTCAGAGCATAAACTGCACTGTTTATAACTTGTTTTCCCCGCAGGCCTGCAGGTGTCTTCTCCTCTCTCATGCAGACTGCAGACTGGTTTCTTTAGGCGAGATTATAATGAGCCAAGTCACAAATTATAATAAATGAGGGTATGCAAGTGTTGCGCTAATGCTACAGAGCTGCAGGAGTCCAAGACAAAAGCACAAAGGAAAGTTGGGGTGTGCCAGCACATTTTCATATCTCATTTGAGGGCTTTTTTAGCCCCTGCTCTTTCTCAGCCGGAGCTGTGAGAGTCGACAGGGGGTCGTCGAAAGGAAATTCTCCCCGAGGTTGCAGGCTCTTTAGGGGATTGATTCTGTGGCCTTTCAGTCACAGCAGCCACCTGACAGCCATTATGCACGGTTTGCTCGCAAGAAAAGTGGGAGAAAAAAGCCTAATGCACTACCTGCACATGGAAGTGTGAGAATCCATAGAGCTCATCTCCATAGCTCTTGTATCAACCTCCCCATCTCTCTCTCTCTCCTGCGCCTCTCTTCCTGCCACAGTGTTTGCTAGATGTCTATCTTCAAGGCAATCCAAATACCAAAGTGGGGAAAGGGAAATGGAAGGAGGGGTTTCAATGCAAATCCTGACCTGCAGTGGAACACAACAAATGTGTTAAACAAATTGACCGCGAAATGGCCTCCAAGCTGCCATTAACTTATAGTAGTGTGTTACTTTCATTTAGAAATGTCTGGGACCTGCACCTCAAAGGTCACTGTGTTGTTTTTGTAACAAGTCAAACTGTTGCATTGAATCACATCCAGCAATACATTTATTGGCATGTATTTTTGTTCTAATTAGTCTGTAACGTGATCAAAAGAAGTTCAGTCTGTTCACGTTATCTACTTCTCAAAGTTTAAAAGTGTGTCCACTAGGATGAGCTGATTCATACAGCACCTTTCAACAACAAGGCGATTCAAAGTGCTTTACATAGGACACAAAAACACATTCAGCATATAAGCTAGAGATAAACGTTTGAACACAATATTGCACAGAACGAGATCTGTGGATTTCATTTCCACCATCACTGGCATTGAGAGGGATCTCTTTATTGTCACAGTCAACAAGAGGTATGATTATAGCAAGTGAAACCGGTTTTGATGTTCATTCGGGCACCTGATTGTTGGTTTAAGACAGACCTATCCCTGAAGACGAGATATAAAACAGACAACGGGTGATATAAGAAGACATAAATAGCACTCAGGAAGAGTCAAATAAAATAGAAGATTATAATTAGCTGTGATGTAATAGTTACAGGTATGGAGTGCTATAAAAACAGAAGCTCTCCATGTTTAGATTTTGACCTGACGGCTCATAATGTACAGTAGCAGCAGATCACACATGTTTTCTGGTACTACCTAAACTATTCAGTGAGTTACAGACAAATAGCAGTCATTTTAAATTCATTATTTTAAAGCAAGGAAGCCAGTGCTCTCCTGTTCTTAGTGAGTTATTTATAATAATAAAGTCTCAAAACACCTCTTTTCTGATGTCCTCTCTGTCCGTTGCAGCTGGCACCATGCTCCCCCGTAGCATGCACACGAGAACAGGTGGTTATGACCTGCCGGGGGCGGAGTCAAGGGACGTGCCTCTCATTGGCTACCGGCCCTTACAGCCTGACACCCCGAGCAGCCAATCACGGAGGGGGAGCGCCGGTGACGAATTGGAAACTTCACAGGTGAGTGTTTCTCGTTTTGCCTCATTGAAACACATCCGTCATTTTGTCACTTGCGTGCGATACAGAGAGTGATGTGAAGTTGATTTCTCTTGGCTTTGTTCTGTAAAGTCTTCTTTTTTTCTTGTGTTCAAACAATAAAGCGATGTTGGCGGAGCCGAGACGGGATTAGGAGAACTCTTCATTTGTCACGACGCTCCTGATCGACACACCTAACAGCTATTAGGACAGAGCTGAGCTCAGCTACCAGTTTCTTAAATAAACAGCAAATGAGGTCGGCTAGTTTCCAGAAAAAAACCCTGAGGGAATGAATTCAATGTGATACAGACAGAAAGAGTGTGTTTTGGTTTAGTGCTTTTCCACCAGTCCACCGGTTATTTTCCATAGGCTGAATAAATACCTCTAGTGCCAACACAATGCCAAAATTCTACCCTAAATCTTTGGTTTATGACCAAATATCTGCCAAACTAATCACATTCCCATCAACTTTGGCTGAACTCTATGTTTAGTGCTAATTAGGAAATGTTAGCATGCTAACGTGCTAAACTAAGATAGTGAACATGGTAAACATTACACCTGCTTAGCATCTGCGTGTTTGCATCGTCACTGTAAGCATGTTAGCATGTTAATGTTAGCATTTAGCTCAAAGCACCACTGGCACCACTGTTACCAAGTGCCACCAGTAAGGAATTTTACATAGCGGCAAAACTGTGAAATTACAACCTACAAGGGCCCTAAAAATACTAACACCGGGAAAGAGACGTCAGTAGCTCAGCGGATAATTTATTTTGAGGTCAATCACCTTTCTTAACTATCTGTTATTTAAATCATTAGGTCCTAAAAGTTGTAAAATGCACTAGCGGTCAAGCGAGCAGCCTGGAGGCAAAATTAAAGGAAACGCACGCTAGTGCGCTCGCTCTATGGGCCCAATGTACGTATGTGGAAGATCGCCGGATGATCTTTGTATTTTATACTCGGAAGTCAAACTGTATTTGCTTTATGCAGAACTGACCAACGTTCATGGCAACGAACGGGGCGCCACCTCCAAGGCTGTATCCAGTTCTCATCCATGGGCTCAGCATTGCCGTAGAGCCCTGAGTCTTGTTTAAATGTAATGTATTTCTCAACTTGTATGTTTGTCACTGAAATGCATTGACTCCAGGATCACATCTGTAATATGGACTTAGGTTGAACTAAAGCTGAGGAAGTTAAAAGGTTCATGGTACACGTGGATTTCCCACGATCTTTCACCTCTGTTAATGTTTAGTGACTTGATAGTGAGGTTCGTTGAGCCTTATCAGAAGCTCCTCACATGGTTCAACTTCACACACAGTTGGAGTTTCGTGTTGAGGAGTAGTAGAAGTATTCAGTCTTACTTTTTGATATATCTACACATGAGGGCAGGATTATTTCTCTCTTGCACAAAATGTCAGATCTCAACAATAGCAATAAATAGTAATAAAACATGTTTCCTGGGTCATGATGACCTCCTGACCAACCCTTTTGCCTCGACCACACATGACCTGCTCATGGCTTTTTGGTTTTGCTTTACAAGAAACTAAAACTAAAAATGAAGTCGCGCTGACTCTCTCTACGAATGAGCCGACTTCCTCCGTGCTCACGTGGTGGCAGCTGGACCTCGCATTAAATTATTTATGGTGCGGTTTGGCCGGTCGATGTGGTGTACACCTGCTCTGTCTATAAACAGTATCCAGTATCACAGGCCGTCTCCAAGGATAGTCTGTCGAGTGGAATCCAATACGGCCACTTGCTGATTCTTTAATTAGGGAAACTTGGATGTGTGAGTCAGAATGCATGAAGAGAAACCGTTGAGTGGACAATGAAGCTTCTAGGTGAAAGAAACCACATTTGTTTTCAGTTTGAGTTTAATTGATTGGGGTGAAAGTCAAGCCTGAAACATGTACGATTAATACAGATAATAGTTATTGAAGTGATTTTCTTTGCATTTTGTTGCCCATTTTCTTACTCTGTGGTGTATTTTTCTGCTACCAAAGGTACATAAAGATTTCAAAGAACATAATATTTTTAATGCAGTTATAAAAGATTTAATAGCTGAGATAAAAATCTTAATATTATATATTATTTTCTCTTAACTCACCATTTTGGGAAGATATTCAACAACTACACAGCAAGAAATTCATCACAGAGAAGGCAGGAAAACATTTCTATACAGCTTCAATAGACCAGAATGCAAATACAGCTACAAGAGGCCCAGCTGTTGTGAAATTATTCCTTCAGTGGGCTCATATTTCATGAAAAGAGTCCATTTGTATGATTCACTGATTTCAATGATGGTAAATCTTAATATGACAGCATACAATGACTTAGATAAGAGTGTGCTTCCAGCCTTGTGGCCTCACCTGTTTTATAATGACAATGACCCCCCCCCCCCCCGCACAAAGCCAAAGAAATGTTTTTTTCCCATTTTGATGGGGAAGCATTTGACTGGCCTACACAAAACCCTGACCTCAACCCCATCCAATTATCCGGAGCACCGACTGTGAGGATGCAGGTTGTGCTAGAAAATAACTAGTTTGTGAAATGTGTTGTTTGACCATGTTGGAAACCTCCTGGCCGGCCCTGCATGGACTATTTCATACTTATCGTATTTTAGTTGCTCTGAGCTTTCAATAAGGACTGGAGTTAGTTGCATGTTGGGTGTGTTGCGTACGCACGCTAAAGAGTTCCTTTGTGCATCGAGGAGCACTGACCAAGCTGAAAGGTATTTGACCCATTGGGGGTGAGAACAGGTTGGCCCCTTAATTGTGACGTTGAAAAGGTGTGTATGGAGGAGGTTTCTCAAGATATTGAGTACACTAGCACCTTGAGCCAGGCTTTATCGCCCAACATCAGTGACACTAATGTTCTGAATGGGGGCAGATCCCTGCAGCCAGGTTCCAATATCTGGTGGAAATCCTGAGACAAGAAGAGTAGACATCGTTATAACAGCAGATTAATGGTGAATGGTTTTGGAATACTATTCATGTGTGGGTGTAATGTTTGGGTTTCCACAGACGCTGGCTGGCTAGTTAACTACTGTATGTACCCATAAACCCACTTTCGACTAACAGTAACAAGTTAACACCTGTTATCTGGACATTTTAGTGGAAACCACTCACTGAAGTGAATCAGAGGAGACAGGTTAAGGCAAAGTTTGCACACTGAAAAAGCCAACTATTCCCGACAAATTAACTTGCAGAACATCACAGGCTGATGATATCTATCAGCGTAATCACATCCAAGGCAGGATTTTCTTCCTTTAAGGGGAATAGAACAGCTTTGACCTAAATGCCCCAGAGTTTTACTTAAAAGAGAGTAGATAACGGGCACCGAGGGATACATAGATGAAAGCGTGAGAAGAGGAGCAGGGAGAAAGATAGGAAGGAAGGGGTCGTGGGCTGTGGACCACTCAAAAAACAAAACAATGGTTATCTTTAAAAAAAAGCTTCAGAAGATGTATTCATGACCCCCTGTTCTGTGGAAAGACTTGTGTAGGGTTGTAACGGTGTGTGTATTTGTTCAAAGTCAAAGCTTTTCTGCAAAGCTGAAGCCCGGCGATATGGATTTATTTAAGGAAAAAGGTTGGAACTGGTTGTTTTTTGAGAGCGGAGGGGGCGAAAATGGAGAGTCGGCTTCCTGCTTTTCTGGTGCCGTCCAATAGCTGACGTAGTTGTTCAAGAGGAGAGGTTGACACAGCCTTCGGCTTGTGATGGAAGGAGAGAGGAAGAAAAATAGCTTCGCAACACAACAGCATGTCCTGCTTCCTGTGTTTGTCTACACTTATTATGTACTTCCTGCATGCAGCAGGGGGGGGTGGACGGGGGACTTTAAGAAAAAGGAGAGCTGAAGGTCCTGAGAGAAGATCCCATCTTTGAAAAGAACATAAACAAAGTGTCACATATAGCAACAACAATGGTACATATGGGACAAAATCAACTTATAAAAAACAATAAATAGAACTTGAAAAATAGCAAAATAACAGCTGCAGAGTCCTTTTTTTATGCACCGTCTACCAACTCGTGCCACCCACCACAGTGGCCTATAATCATGATGCTTATCCACCAGCCTATGAGGCAGCTGAACTCCAAATTACACACTCATCTATTCCACAGAAAAGGCTGGTCCCTCTGACCCAGATTCAGCCTGGTTTCAGAAGGAAAACTCAAGGGAATATACTTTTATCTGGAGTATCTCAATATACCAGCTCTGTCTGGAATAAGGAAACAGAGCAAAGGGATAGTTTTATTCGTGTCTGTGATGAAGTGCTAAAGGCCAGATGATCAGTGCGCGCTTTAAAGGTGCAATGTGAAGTGATTGTTGGTTAACACAAACTGAAGTGATTTTAAAGTTTTGTTCTACGATATAAAATGTCAGTAAACATCCCTCTGGTGGATTTTAAAGCTTTAACGTGTCTTTAAAAAAGGAGATTTCTAACAAGGGGCTAAATGAGACTACAAAACATCATCAAGTCGACTAGTGGCGGTGACGTGATGACATGCGACCGTGGTGTCCAATGGAAAAATCCCATTAGCTTTTTGTTGAGGGAACCGATGCGATGCTAACATCTGGTGCTGGGCTACAAAAATACATCATCCCTGCAGCACTCTATAGACTCTTTTCACAGCAGCCATTTTTGACATGTCACTGCAGGACAAACACAGGTGTAATCAATACCATTAATTATGACCCTGTTCCATTTAAGTGGGTCAGGGTCCTGGTATTGTGCATGCTGCCTCACTGGACTGACTGTGACACTAATTATAATGGGACCATAATGAATTTGATTAATGACACTTGTGTTTACCCTGCTATGACATGTGAAAATGGCTGCTGTGAAAAGGGTCTGTTGTACTCTCTGTATACTTAAAGCTGCACTAATCTATATTTTTGTATGAGCAATGGGTTGAACGACAACATGTAATGTGAAAGGTGACCCTCGTAGTGACAAACCTGTAGAGAATTATCACCGAACCTTTGGGCTCCACCGAGTATTTTAGCATCTTTTAGCATCTTTTAGCTCATTACTTTTGTTTTAGACGTCTCATGTTTTCATCAACCTTGTTTCCCTTGTAGGTTTTAGCAGACAAATACAGATGAAGTTATCGACTAGCTGGTGAACATAGTGGAGTGTTATGGAGCTGAAAAGACACATTTTTTCAGGAGTTAGCGGAGACAAAAACAGAGCTGAAATGAGAGTAAATATTAGACTTAATGTAACCAGGTAGACAAAAACACAACTCCAAACGAATGCTAATGCTAAAGCTAATGTGTGTCCGCTGGATACTATATTATGTTAGCTGACACACTAATGAGCTAACTAGCCTCTACACAAACACACAGCGTTGACAGTCACCACTTAGTTAACATGGCTTCACTCTGTGATGTCATTAGCCCCTGAAATACACACAGCTTGCTTCCTGGTTCAGAGGCCGTCTGAACATTTATTACCTCTTGTTACAAGAATACAGGCCTCTTACTGCTCAAACAGCATGTCGGGGTGTTTGGAGTGAAAACTACAGTAGCCTATGAAGGCGGTCCAACGATATATATCTGTAATCAGATGGCGGCCCTCTCAGTCAGCTGTTGTTTTACTGTAATGTATTGAAAAGGAGACTCAGTCAAACGGGTTTATATGTAGGGGAAGGTTATCTAGAAAGACAAAGAGAGAGAGAGAGAGAGGGGGGGGGGGGGGGGAGATTGAAAGAGAGGGGGTATTGTTCTGGAAATAGCTTCAGGGCTTTGTCTCAGTGTGTGTGTGTGTGTGTGTGTGTGCAGGCAAGTGCCCATGCATCTGTCTATTGACGAAGGTCTGCATTTGTGTGAGCTGCATGTGTGTATGGGTGACTGTGTAAAAAGCGACTCACTGAAAATGAGTAATGTGCTATCAACACCAACGTCTGTGTGTGTTTTGTGTGTGTGTGTGTGTGTGTGTGTGTGTGTGTGTGTGTGTGTGTGTGTGTGTGTGTGTGTATAATGGGTGTGCCCAGGTGATGCATGCTCTCGGGGGCCGGACTTAGCTCCTGCTTCAGGTGTGTCTTTGTGATATAGAGCCACAAGATGTTGAGAGGCAAACGGTAAAGAGAAAAACACATAGATCTAGGTCAACAGAGGGAAACAACCATCGGTCAAGTATAGAAAGAGAGAGAGAGAGAAAAGAGGGAGCAACAGATGAGAGAAAATGGAGAAAATGAGACCGTAATCTCGAAGATTTCCAGGAAGCTTAGGGATTGCTACCTGTCTGGACTTGCAGTGAGAAAGGTAACTTGTGTGACCATTTTTACCCCCTTCTTTTTGTGTGTGTCTTGTGCTTGGGGGGGATTTCATGGGAAAGATAGAATTGCATACAGATTTGCGTAGACGCAAGCTGAGATGGCAGGTAGAATAACAGGTTTGATGCACAGACAATGCAGGGCAGCAGGATCCTCTTTGAATGCAAGAAGCGCCTGCTTGGAGCGTTGACCTTCGATCAAGTCAGGCCTAGGTAATTTGAAAAGAGGCTAATAGAGGCTAACATATGCTTATTGCAGCTTAATTACATCATGGGTCAATCAGAGGGGAGAGAAGAACTCATGCCCTTTTACTGTTCGTATGAATATGTTTCTTGGCTCATATGTGACTTTGAATTTGCATATGAAAAAGCTCACAAGTCAGCACATGCAAAATCAATGAAAATACAAGGCAGGTTATTAGTTTAATTTTTAGAATAAATATATAAGATGTTGTGTTTTTGGGGTGTATTTGCCTTGTTTCCAAGGTGTTGCTCATGTTTGTTGTAGATCAAAACAAACCATCCCACATTACCTGGAGATTCTGCCAACCAGGGTGAAATCACACGGTGTGATGCTCATGCATTTTTTATGACGGAAAAAGTCACAGTTGCGAAAGCGTCAGTGTCGGAGCAAGAGTAAAGTGATATCGTATCGATGTGTTACTAACTTTTATAATTGAGATTTGGATGTAAACAAAAGGCTCAGCCCCACCCACCACCGACTATTCACAACACAAGACTCTCGCACTGACATCGGTTACTGTAAGAACTAACACAAGACAACAGTTAGATCTGAGTTATTAATATTAATGTAAATATTTGTTTGCATGAGTAAAACATGCCCATCTCAGCTGAGAAAACACCAAATACAGAGTTTCTGAAGCTTGAACATTTTTGAAAATATGCATCAATATGTAAGCATTATTCTACTGTTGTAGCTGGTTGAGTTGGAGATTGTTTCAACTAGTTTATATATCGTTAGGTCGCTTATTTCAGTGGTTCACAAACGGTCACACGATAAATCTGAGGGGTCATGAGGTGATTACTCAGGGAGGAAATAAGTAAAAACACAATTCTGCGACACAAATTTGGGATTTCTATCATTGCTTTTTGCATAATTTTACCTCTTGAGGTCTCAAACTGTTAAATACTGAATGTCTGGTAGAACTGCTAACAACTCATACACTTCTGAAACACGACAACAGGCCTCAACTACACACTGTTGTTTTGTAAGAGGTTACCAGTCATAACCTGGTTTACTCTTGAACTAAATGTTGTACATTATAAACCTATTATGTGCTTATTTTAAAGAAAAATCTGTCTGTAAAGTATCTAATTAGTAAAAAGTACAATAGTTGCCTCTGAATTGTAGTGAAGTAGAAATATAAAGTTGTACAGAATGGAAAGTACTTAACTACAGCACTTGGGTTAATATATTAACTAGCACTGGGCTTTAAAGACACATACATATGTGTGCCTGAAGCACTTTTGTAGCTCTTATCTGTGTGGCTGTTTTGACATTATTCAAATGTCTCTGCAGTGCCGCTGTGCGTCTCACACTTCTTCTTACTATTAAAGTGCTCTGAGTCATCTGCTGTCTGCGATATGACTTGGGCTGCAAGGATCCTGCTGTCCCACAACCGTGTGTGGCAATATGTTGTTGTTGATAAGACTGAGCAACTAATGCTGCCAAGACAAAGTCGTATTCATTGATTGGACTTCTCCGCAGGAGGTTCAAGTGGTTTTAAGGCCGCGAGAAAGGTTTGATTTAAAACAGCACTTGTTATTAATTAGCACCCATTTCTCTTCTTCTTTCTGGAGAGTTGCAATATAGCCGGGCCTTTATTGAGCTTTGCTTATTTACCTGTCTTATTTATTATATTTGACCTTTTTAGTCTGGCTTTTAATTAAGCTTTATTTATGTGTATTTCTAATTATTTATTGTATTTTACCTTTTTAGTCTGGCTTTTTGTATTTCAAGTCCTACCTCTCGTGTTTCCTCACCGTGAATTGAAGATATGTATGCTATCATTTCCTCAGTTTGTTGTTGTTGTTTTTTTGGACTGCTGTTATTATAGAATGTTTAATTATAGAATGTTTAAATGTTTGTGTGGATGTGGAAAAGTGAGACTGATTGATTGATTAAAAAACTAAATTATCTCCACTACATCAATTTATTGATGTCTTGTTTAAAAGTTTTTCACTTTTTCTTGTAAAATAACGTATTTTCGTTCTTTCTGCATCATTGTTTTGTGTGGTTCATCAAATGAAAGAAGCTAGAGAGAGTGTATACGATGTGTTGCTTTGCTGTTGATTCCCTCATTTGGTGCAACGCTCTTTTCTAATAAGACAAATAAGTTTCAAGTTTGGTTTGGTTCTCCATCTACAGGCAGAGCCCTCACCAATGAAGACCACCTGGTACTGTCCTCTAGAACTGGTAAGGCCAGAGTGTGCTGCACACATTGTAACATGAATGGGATAATGTGCCTGTGAGCCAGTTCAAGTATAGAATAGGGTAACTGTGTCAGGGACTTCCCCCGAGGCTAAAACGGGATCGTTAGAGCTCCAGGTAGCGTGAGAAATGAACAGCTTCATTTTATGTATTTTTCTTTTCCATGGACATGGGGTCCCTAGTAGAACAGACACTATCTCTATCTTTTTAATGAGACCGTTTATTGGTGTGAGTCTGTTTCATTCAGTAAAAGGACACGGTTAAATGGCAGATTTTATTTTGATTGTCATGCATTCTTTGCAACACTTTTGCAGCCGTTAATCTGTTTTCCTCTGCTTTACTCAGTCCACTGTGGTGGAGGAACAGGATGATGGAGTGATCTACACAGTGGTGGTCAAACAGCAGCATGGTGCCCCCAGTAGTCCGATGGTAAGTCATGTGTGACTGACTGGATGCACAGTAAAAAAAAAAGGGCCTCCTATTTGCAGTAACATGAACTTCCTTTCTTTTCCTTCCTGTCTCGCTCCAGTCGACGGTTTCTCGCTCCCAGTGTGTGAAAGCAGGGACGGAGGAGAAGCTGGTGCTCCACCTCCTCCACTCCTTTTCTCTAGGAGACTCCTCCTTCATCACCATCTTCCTCTACACCTATCGATCCTTCACCTCCACGGGCAGAGTGCTGGACATCCTCACTGACAGGTTGGAGAGTTTTTTTAAATCTCTGATCCAGGACGATGAAGTTTGTTGTTTTTTATTTTTTTAAAAAGAGGGATCTACACGAAGTCTCGGAGCCGTAAATCCATCTGGTAGAGATATTTCACTAGATAAATGAAAAACATTGACAGGCTGACTGCACTTGATGAAAATCCATTTGAGTCATTCTGTGGGCTCTGTGCATGTCTGTACAACATTTCATGGCAATCCATCCAATAGTTGTTGAGGTATTTCAGTCTGGAACAAAGCGGTGGACCGACTGACTGACGTTGCCACCTGAAGAGCCTCACAGCGTCGTACTAACTACTAAAGGACTACAGATGAAAAATAGCCTTTTGGCTAACTCTGGTGCATTTACAGAAATGTTTTTATTAATGTGCACTGTCCCTTATCAAATAAACCAATAAATAAAAAAATAAAGTGCAGATAAATGGTTTACATAACAGTCGGCAAAACTGGTCACTTTACACCTACTTTACATTTTCACAAGATAAACAGATTTTAGTTCAGCTTTGTAATTTGTCTTCAAGCTGAGTCTCATACAAACAGCAGTCTTCAGATTAATTGCGTAACTTAATTTAGAGACACTTCCACAATGGAGGAAGCACCTGGGTGCTTATTTAAAATAACCGCAACATAATTCAGCAAGAAACTTGCTTGTGAAGGCTTTTTTATTCCCTTATAAAGTCGTTATTAAATAATGGAGGCATTTGTATGAAACAGCTATTTGGAAAGTTTTTTCCAAACGAAGCGACACAAAAGAGAGTTTTGACTCCGGCAACGAGCTCAGTTTACCTGCAAACATCAGGGCAGAAAAACAAGCCCCGAATACATTTATCACAAAGAGCATTATTTATGACTCGGCAGATGCACATATTTGAAGCTGAATGATATTTATGCTCGTTTTATTTTTTTCTGCTCCGCTAACTTTCTTTTTTGTTAACAGATTGGAGAATCCGCCTGGTGACAACGAGAGGAGCCATATGAGACAATCTTTCAACAGGTGAGTTTTTGAAAATGCGACCCAACATCTTCTGTGCAACTTTTACTGTGAAACGCTTTGTGGTTGTGTGTGTGTGTGTGTGTGTGTGCTTGAATATAAGTGTGAAGCTGTGTGTGCCATAAATACATCTTCTAAAGAAAGTTTCGCTTCTTGCTTTTGTTTTTGGGGTATTATTATTACCAGGCAGAGTTCCTTTTTTCGTTTCAAACTATGGTGACTAGTTTGTCTTTTACTCTCTTTTTTTTTATATGACACATTAAAGTGGCAATAGACAAGTTTTCTGCTTTAACTCACTGTGAAGGCAATGTTGATTGAACAATGTAATGGCTGTAGAATAATGACACCATTGGTGTTTAGATTGGTTCCCTGTAAGCCTCGCTTTAACTATGCAATTCTGTCTGCCACTGGGAACCATCTCCCGGGAAATGAAGGCTCGATTTATGGCCGCTATCGGTAGCTATCTCCAGCTACCAAAGTATCAATGGAAGTTATTTGCAGTTACTATCCCCACAAGCGGAAATAGTGGATGGTGGAACGACCGAAGTAACCGTGGAAAACAAAATGCTGTGTGTCCTCTGTTGTTGGTAGAATGCTACGCTCTGACGATAACCGAAAGCGATCAGTGGCTCCAACAATAATACCACCAATAGTTGTCTGCTTTCGCTTTAATATAAAACAAGTGAACATCAGCAGAAGACACTAGAATAAAAGATAGAAACAGGAAATGCAAACCATCTCAACCGGCCTATTAACTGTATTAACCTACAAGGTGCTAAATTCAAAATTCAGAGCATTAGTATAGCAGCAAACAACTATTCGTGGTAAAAAAGAGCTCTGAGCACCTTTGAAAAAAATGTTTCTATGACAACAATTTATTGACAACAATACCTTGTATGAATGAGCTTGTCACAGCTCAATCTGGGCTGTTCGCTCTTTGTTATGATAGTGTCTGTCTGACACATAAAGTTAAGGATAGACAGACACGGCCTGAACAAGCTTCTCCTACATTTACTACAGTGAAAAGTAACATTTCTTTTCATAATCAACATGATGAAGGCACTTGCAAAGAACAAGGTAGTACAAAATGTACCAAAACACTGGCAACAAGGAAGATCTTGAGTAGATAATAATGAGAATGAAACACAATATAAATCATACCTTTTTAAATCTGGTTTGAATTGACATCAATCACTTTTACCAGCACTTTTCTGAAAAGTTCAGAGATTTTTAGAAAAAAGGCGGAGCGCTCAGAAAGAAGACGCCATGTGGACACAGGCCCTAAGTCCTGTTCAGAACGTAGACTGTGAGGAGGGCAACACGTTGATCCTCTGCTTCCACTATACTATAGACTCATCTCTAAGCTGCTTTTCTTGTCTAAACCCCCTGAGAACGTGATTTCCTGGCAAATTTTCTAGGTGTGTTGGAAAATATCAATACATTCAATCAATTCCAATCTGCAACAGCTTGTTCATCTGCTTCTGGCAACCTGCACCTCCCCCGGGTTTAAACCAGAAACAGATGCACCTCCCTTCTTTTGCTTCCAGCAAACTTTGGGATTGATTTGAAAGTGTTTCTTTCCTATTCCTGATGACCTGGTTTTCCGACACAGGGAACCTTTTTGTTCTCTTTGTGCTCTGAACTTTCTGGAGGTCGGGGGTAAAAAAACAACAGATTATCATGTTTCTGATGATGTGACCCAGAAAGGTCAGAGTCACATCCCTCTAAAGCCATGGAGATAATGAATCATTTCTTCCTTCAACATCTCTCTCCACATTCCTGCAGAGCGGTGTGTATGGTGTTCAGCACATGGCTCTCTGAGTATCCTGAAGACTTTAAGAGTTTGGAGGAGCCCTCACGCCTGCTGCGCCTGGTTCCCCTGCTCCCCCAGGACTCCTCGTCCGCAGCCGACCTCCGCGCTCACCTCCTCCGGATAGCCGAGGAGCTCAGCGAGAAAGCCCTGCTCCCCGACGCCCATAAAGGTCTGTAAATTCACTGGGCTTTAAATGTCACCAGTTGAGGCCTCGCTAGATGAGGTTTTCATGAAGAAATACACTTGTTGTCTCAGTATAAATCACAATGAGCCTGCAAAGGACAAAGACAATATAACATGGGCTGGTTGTGGCTTCCTTGATTATACAAATGTAATCAAACTTTAATTATATTATTATACTATTACTTTACAGACCAGTGTCCTAGTGTCCTTCTGAAGCCAGGAGTGTGTAGAACGTTGGTTACTAAAAATACTCTGGACACTACAGCTGCTCTGCTATGAAAGCCAAAGGCGACTGTTGATGCAATACTTGCTGCACTTTGTGTTTAGTGCTAATAGGAAAAATGGTGGACATGGTAAACATTACGCTGTTAGCTTGTTGCCATGCTAGCATTGGCATTTAGCTCAAAGTACTGCTGTGTCTCAGTACAGCTTCAGATCCACATCGACTCTTTATCTAGTTTTCTCTCATCCTGTAATCTCGAGGTCACGAGTGAAATATCTCCATATCTCAACATAACAAGGTCATTTTCTCATTAAAATGAGATATTTATCCAGTTGCCTCGGGTTTTCCTGAGATAACTAAACTGTTATCTTGAGAAAGCCATGATTCTCTGGAACAAAACAACTTCATTACCACACTGGACACAGCCAAGGATCAGAGCAGCAGCAACTCTGAGAGAAACAGATTCCCACAACTCATGGATTTAAAAGATATGTTTCTTATATTCTGCATTTCCAGTTTTAGTGAACACGTTCACCCTTTGCAGATAAGACCGGTTTCACCGGCCCTCCTCCGGACGCCTCCAAGTTTGAACCCACCAGCATCCTTGGATTCCCTGCAGCGATCATCGCTGAGCAGCTCACCAAAATAGAGACAGTGAGTTCTCCCTGACATGTTTTCGATGGTGGCATGAAGCAAAATATTGACCAATGATGCTGAAAGTGAATTTAGGATTCAGGGTAAACTATTCTCCTTTTGAGTTTGTGTGCATGTGATTGTCAGCTGTAACTCAGCTTTGATGTCAGTGTTGACTTTGTGGATTGATTCAGGTATGCTAAGTTAGCAGCTCAAGCTAGCGTTTGAAAAATGAACAGATGACTCCTTAGAGTGTCTCTTAGCACAACGAGCTAAGCTAACGATCAAGGTACAGTGAGCACAGACACTGACACCTGCTAATTGGTGCTGTAACATTACATAAATGGAATAAAACAAGAGTTTTACAAATTCAATCACACAAGGTACAACTTCAGTGAAATGCAGACCGTCATCCAACGCTCGCACATTGGCCAGCAGGATGTCTGGCCTCCAATGAACTGCTCAGCAAGCCATATTATGTCCCGTATTGTGTGATGCATTTTTCAAAAGGCACCAACACCACAAACAAACACGGCCGAGAGGCCAAGTTCAGTGTCTCGAATTAGCCAAGGTGACACCCAGCAGACAGTTGGAGGCCGTGACGCTCGCTGCCAACACAAACAGAAAGGGGCCACCCTCAGAAACTCAAATTCTATCAGCATGAAATTCAAGCGGGACACTTCAGTACAGGTCACATGATTTGATTAGTTTATTATTTATGAAATCTGTATGCTGTCACTTATCAGGAGCTGTTTGTCCGTCTCGTCCCGTACCACTGCCTCGGCTCACTGTGGTCTCAGAGGGACAAGAAAGGGAGGGAGGGCGTTTGTTGGTCCGTCCGGGCCACCATACATCAGTTCAACAAGCTGGCCAATGCAGTGTTAGCGTCCTGCCTTTGCCCCACCAATCTGCGCAGCCAGCAGAGAGCCCGACTGCTGGAGAAATGGATCAGCGTGGCAGAGGTCAGTATGCATAAATCAAAGGACACAGCTCTAAAAAAAAATGCAGGATTTGATGCCATTTTTAAAGGCTAGAAATGGGGAAAAAAAATGTTGCTCATCCTGAAATGAAAATGTTAACAGTATGTCAGTTGGGGTTTCAAGTCTTCAAAAATCCCCAACTGTGCATTTTCTTACAATAAACCCCCTTTAATCCCCTAAACATAATCCTATTCTCAGCTCTGATTTTGCACATACCATCACAAATTCACGGTCAGCTTGCTTTCTGCTGTGACTGTTCCGGTAATTTCACTTTAATCAATAGCTGAGAGCAAAACACAGCAATGACGTCTTGAATCATGGTTTATTTCTGGACAGCAGCAGCAAATCTGTAAATAGTGCTCTCTCACTAATTGAGTGCATTTGGTGGTCGATCACTTCTGGCAGTAAATAAGCGAGATTATTTAAAAAATCAGCATATTTTTATACTAGAAGTAGAACCAGAGTTCCATCACACCTTTAGGAAATGGAATAGGAAATGTACTCTGCATGAACAGGACAAGAAATGTGCTGAGTCGAGAAATGTGATGCATGACCTCAAGGCAAACAGTAAAGCTTTTAAACTGCTTAAAAATGTCGGTCTTATACAAGAGAACTGTGGATTAACTGTAACAGCGTTCTGGTTACTGTGCACAACAATCTGTCTCCTTTCAAATATTGAAGAGCTCACAGCACCTGCTCACACACACACACACACACACACACACACACATAAACATATCCTGTCCTTGGTTGTTATGGTCATATGAGCGGTTTTATTCCTTTCAGAGCCTCTTTATCTGTGAAGAAAACGCAGCTTCTCTCCAGCATTCCTGAAGCTGCATTTCTCATCACGTTCACACACACTCACACACACACTCCAACATTCTCTTTGGCAAAGCGAGGTATCACTGGTTTGCTGCCAAAGTGCCGTCCCAAGCCCACCCCAGGTTTCTTTTGGGACAAACCTCTTTAGCAGCATGCATTATTCAGCAACTTCAAGCCGACACTGTAACTCAATACCAGCCAGACCCACACCCACAGGTGTTCTCGGTTACAGTGTGAGTGTGTGTGTGTGTGTGTGTGTGTGTGTGTGTGTGTGTGTGTGTGTGTGTGTGTGTGTGTGTGCATGCAAATGACTGTAGTCATCCGTGTGTGCTTTCAACAGGAGTGCCGTGCCAGGAAAAACTTCTCCTCGCTGTATGCCATCGTGTCTGCCCTGCAGAGTAATCCCATCCACCGGCTGAGGAAGACGTGGCAGGACACTGACAGGTCCGCAGACGAACAACTCGCAGTTTTAAAGACAAAATTTATTGCCACACACACAGAGAACGGTTTTCACTGAGCAATGTGATTCATAGTTTGCTAGCCTGTCAGATTGCATTCTATAAAAAAGAATACCTAAAAATGAAAAAGTCAGGACAACATGATAATAAACAACAAAAGTTGTACACCAATTGTGCATATTAGTATCATAATTGAGGTGTGAGATAGTTGTGTTTGTACAAAAAAGTGGGAAGAACAACATAGTAGGCATTAGTATTACTGTAAGTTATTGAGGACTTTAATTGACCTGTGTTGTTGACCGAGGAATGGCACCAGTGGCACCTCACATTAATATGGTGGCTGAATGAATCAGCATCATTCTGTTAATGTCATTAAACATTCTCTGCTTTTCTATCAGTCATTGTCTCTCAGACTTTAGTATGCAATGCATGCAGTACAGGATTTTGACCTCGCAGCTCATACAAAATGTCTTCATTGGATTTCCTTATCTTTGTAATATTGAAACATGAATGCTGATTTAATTGAATACACTGCTTTGGTCACTTGACAGGGAGGCAGTGAGGAGATACGAGGATCTGTCAGAAATATTCTCAGACAAGGACAACTACTCACAAAGCAGAGAACTCCTTAAGGAGGTAAGTTTATGTCAAGACAAAATACAGAGCAGCAATGGAAATGTAATACACTGTACATTTTCAAAAGTTAAAAACAGGAAATCACGCTGACATAATCTGCATTATACAGTGTGAATGGAGCAGGTTCAGTGAGAAATGTGATCCTTTATTTATGGCACGCAGAGGCTGACTCCTACATGAGGCAGCGTTGAACCAGTTATTTTGAATGAGCCTGAACGTCATCTTGTCATTTAACCGCTTGTGTGTTGGAGGCTGGAGAAGCTGTTTCTTGTGTGCTGTCACTTTTAACTCTCACTCACAGGACTAAAGTGTTGGAGTGCAGCTTTGATCTGTATTCAGATTTCAACAGCTCTTTTCTGATGTCTTGGACTTGTTTGAGGATTCTTTTTTATGTTTTTAATTAAATTGCTAAAAATATCTTCAAAGATACTTTCACCCCATTACAACAAACACTTTGAGTGTACACCTGTGTGTACAATATGTAAACTCCTGAAGCATTAGTGTTGCATACAGAAAGAAAGACACTGGTTTTATTGACTGTTTGCTGTATGCAGGTCCCAGATTTGGGCTTTAATTGCTACACTATGAGTCTTAACTCAACATCATCACAGTTTGGGACTTGATCTTATTATTTTATGAACTAATCCATGTGGAAGAAAAATAAGGTCTGTAAGGCTTTACTTATAAGCGCTGAGCTAAATGCTAACATCGGCAAGCTAACCACCGTCTTAGTTTAGTGTGCTAATTTTTCAGCTGAGGTTGACGGGAACATCATTAGTTTTGCAGGTATTTGGTCATAAACCATACTGGACAAATTCAAATATTGACCCGATGACGATGCTAGGCATCACCGAAATCAATGGGATACACCATCTGGGAACCATGAATCTCTGTACAAAATGTCATCTGAATCCATCCAATTTCTGTGAAGATATTTCTGATATAACCGATCAACTGACTGACATAGAGAGGCAAAGTTCCTTCACTGTCCTGCTATCCCTAGAGCAACGTAACTAGCATGGCTAAAAACAGCATACAAGCAAACTGCGAGCACACACTGACATCTGTCTAGTCTCAAACGGCAGCTCTGAAAAGCCAACGTGACTCCTCGGCACTTCTATCTCACATCCTGCTGACGAGCATCCTATAATGTGAACAGCAGTATGAGGCATTTATTAATGTGTCTGTCGAGCGCCACTGCTGGACCACATTTATTAAATTCCTATCTGCACAGGCTAAAGTCGAGCCGTCTCAGCCGAAAACAACATTGAGCGCTCGAGATTTATGACCGCTTTAAAAGACCAGAAACCAGTCTAATCTGGTTGAGTATAACTGCCCTTATTCTGTCAACACTTGCACTTCAGTTTGATACACCCATCTGAAGACGTGCAATATATTTAGTTTGCACTGTGTCACAGAATTACAGAAGTTGACAAGATTAGCCGTGTTTTGATTCGCTGTTACGGTGCAATGCAGGCATCAATACCTTTTGCATTAGCTGCGATTTTATCCATGATACCCCCAAAGGAATTCAATCAAACATTTGCTTTCATTTTGAAAGCTTCACTCTGAGCTTTGATGACAGAAAAACACCATCGCCTTCTGTTGCCCTTTGATTTTTTTTTTTCCCAGCACAGTTACTTGCTTCCCTTCATCTCAGAGCATGTCTAAAAATGACTACGACTAGCAGACACAGTGTAAGATGAATGATCCAATGAAAGACTTACTAAAAGTTTGAGGAAAGGAATTATTCACAACCCTGTCGTTGAAGCATTTTACAATGTGGTAAAGTTTATTTTGTAGCATGATTATAACAGGCTATGTCTAGAGCAGTGTCATCTTTGCATTTACAATATTAATGTCATGAAAGTGTGTTCATGTTAATATCAGTTGTCTTGGTTTTATCTAGTTTAATGGTACATTTATGGTCATTTGTATTTTTTCATAATTCACACGTGTTTTCAACCTGAATTTGTATTTTTATGCAACAAAAGATAAATGCTTTATGTCGTGTATTCATGGGGGAATCTTCTATATACAAGTAGAAATAATGACATAAATAGAAATATATGAATAAGGCCCTAACCTGGCCAGCAACATACAGACAAAGTCAGCACCTAGCTGGAGAACATAGTGGAGGATTTAGCAGCTTAAGAGGCAGATTTTATGGCTGGAAATGGTGGAAACCAGATCAGAGATTTTTAAAAAAATTGGGGGAGGGGGTCATAAAGGACAGACGCGAAAACAGAGTGTGAATACAGGTATATTGAGAAATAATAAGGTTTTTTGAACAATATAGCATCTCAACATTTTTTTTCTAGAAACCCAAAATATAAGTACGAACCTGAAAATCAGCATGTCTCCTTTAAAACCTCACAACATCCTTGCTTTTGTGTTGCAGGAGGGCACGTCAAAGTTCGCCAACCTTGACAACAACAAACTTCTTAACAGGGTAAGTAGAGTGGAGTTAAAGACTTGATTCGATGTGAAATAAGGGAGTGATGGAGGTCTAGCTATATGTGAGGCAGGCTTGTTTGTGGACGATCACTGGCTTTAACATTTAGGATAGAGAACATGAACTCCCTCTACAACCTGCTGAAAACCAGAGACTGTTGTTGCACAGGTCAGCACTCGCTTGTCGGCGCCTGAAATTGTGCGAATACGTCTCTTAAAACACGCAAGAGTTCACATGAAGTTAAACATTTGTAAATTATTCTCACTGGAGCTTCAAATCCCCGCCAAGACATTTCAGATCGTTCCAGTCACAGAGGAGTAACTTAATAACGACCTCAACATTTGTTGCTGAGGCAAAACCTCAGATCTTCAAGCGCATGAAAAAGACCAATTTTCACTAATTTACAGCCCATGTCACGTGTGCATACCAATCGTTTTAGCCTGAAGGGCTGTACTCCCCCACAGGCCTTTATGGGAGACCTTGGAAAATTTAGGAATGATGTAAGAACCTGCAAAAGGGATATTGTACAAGTTAGGGGACACAATTTTGTAGAATTTCTTGTGAAAAATGCATTCAGGTGTAATTTTAGGGCTTAAATCTTATTTTATTGTATGTATATACTGTATGTTCTGTCATAGATATTCAATATAGGATGAAATGAAACAATGTTTAAGTTAAAAACACTCCGTTATGATAAATATAAAATCCTGATGGTTTTGCTGAGAGCTTAATACTGTATTTCAAACTAAACGTAGTAGAAAACACAGTTTTTCTACAAAACGGCTGCATTCAAACATTGATACTGATGTCACTTTCGCTAAGCGGGGGGTGTTTCAGCGGTTTGATGGAGGGTTGTAAGGGCTATCGACCGGCGTGCAGCAGCGAAGCGGAACAGAGGGCTCTCCGCGTGTGTGTGTGATGTGCTGAATCCTCAGCCATCGTTTGAAAATAGCTGCAGGCAGCTGCTCTGCAATCCCTCTCTGTGTGGGCTCTTTATGACGCGAGTAGAAACCACTGGGGAATTGATAAAACACTTTTCTTTCTTTCCTTTTTTTCTTACACAGTCCAACGCGCAGGGCACTGTGCCCTACCTGGGCATTTTCCTCACAGACCTCACCATGCTGGACACGGCGGTCAAAGACAGGCTGGATGTAAGTCCCCCTCATCTCTCTCAAGGGGAAAGTTGGTCACAACCTGTTGAAGTTGCTCCCTTTTTTACAATTATCACACTGACACAGCACATCCTGTCACTGCCTTTGCAGAACGGCTACATCAACTTTGACAAAAGGAGAAGGGTGAGTGATGCATCGCGTGTCGGTGTGTGAGATAAAAGGTCAAATGTTTAGAGATTTTTCATTTCGCTGATGCTCTGGATTAAGCTTCTGTTCCTGCGGCGCATGACACAACAAGCAATTATGACTGAGGTGTGCATGAGTAGGAATTGTAGCGCCCTGGAAAAAGTTCTGTGAATGATCCTGTTCGAGAGCAGAAGACGAGCAACAAAAAGATACGTAGGATCACTTTTGAGATCAGAGCGTATTAGAGCGAGCAGAGGTAACATTAGATCTGAGGGGAGGAGAATGATTAGGTTGGAGGCAGCCGTGAGGTGCAAAATGAGAAGCAAACACAGTAGATCAGCAACATTTTGTTTTTTTACTCTTTTTGTTTTTTGTTATTATGAAACATTGTGATGATATGCCTCTTTGTTAACAGGAATTTGAGGTTTTAGCTCAAATCCGTCTCCTGCAGTCTTCCTGCAAAAACTGTGTTTTCACCGCCGACCAAGCCTTCATACAGTGGTATCAGAGTGTACCGACGCTAACAGAGGAGGAAAGGTAAATATCTCTGCGTTTGGTTCCGGTTAAACAAATGTCTTCAATGCATTAATTTGTGTACGTGGGACAAAGACTGATTTCAAAATATTCAATGATGCCTATTTCAGTTACAGACTGTCCAATGAAATTGAAGCGCCTGGTGAGCCGAGCCCCCGTGGCCTTACTCCAACAGTCATTATCACACAGTGCCGAGAGTAAGCTATACTGAACGCCCCTACACACACACACATAGTACAGTAAAATGACCATGATACCACATTCACACAATGTATAGACTAGGATTTAGTTTGGTCCAGGTTGTGGTGCGTTGTCCGCAGACTTTACACATGAAGTTCAGTTTCAGGAGCTAACTGCTCAGACTGTGAATACAGTGACAATTATCTGTCAATTTGTTGACTAAATGATTATTAGATGATTATAAGAGCAAAAAAAAAGCATATAAAAATAAATGCAATTATAAGTTTCAACCCTAATATGAATGTGCTTTTACATTTCTATTGTGTCCGCAGCCTGAGTAGCTCTCGGACCAGCCTGACTGGTGACAGTGACAGCCTCTTTGACTTCCCCTCCCCTGTCAATAGTCTGCTCTCAAAACTCACAAAGGTAAAACTGTTTTTTTAGACAAACTTTGCATTTTCATTTAGCTTGTTTCACAGGCATTGTATGCCGGAGCGACTCTGTTTTCCATTTGGTTTAACTCTGCTCAACGGCGTTGTACTGAACTTGATTGAGAAACAATCCTCTCTTGATTATCATCAGCACCGTTGCTTTCATTTTGGAATTGCAGCACATGAGATCTCCGTCTGTGTCCTGTCTGGATGTCGACACGTCTTCTTCAACCACTGAATCCACCCCTGCCACGCTGACGCTATCCACTCCCACAAAATCGCACCGTCGATCAGTCTCCTGCGGCAACAACCCCCCCAATAACATCCAAGGGTCGGGGCCCGACATGCGAATCATCAGGATACGGATGGACCTGCAGGATGGAAACCTGTACCGAAGCATACTGGTACCAACATCAAACCGTTTGAGTCGAATTAACAGCAGCAGCAGCAGCACAGTGGGATTGTAGAAAAATGCTCGTGTCCCGAATTATCTACAACATGCTGCACTTACGTCTTGTCTGCAAGGATCCCGTAATACTTATCAGAATCCGATCCTCAGGATACAATGGGCCGAGGATATCATTAACGCGAATCACGCTGTCCTCTTGTCATTGTTATCCTTCTCTCTCCCCTCAGGTTACGAGCAATGACAAGACCCCCACTGTGATCAGCTCTGCCTTAGAAAAGCACAGTCAGGACCCCAAACAGACGCCCAGATATGAGCTGATCCAACTTCTGGCTGAAGGAAAAGGTAAAGACGTGTTTTCAGTGCAGAAAAAATACAACACCTATTGGATATGTGCATGGTATTTCTGTAGCAGTTTCATCATTAGGTGGCGTATTTCTGTTATCCAAATGGAGACAAAACTGAGACCATGTTGAGATTTTAAAATGTTTTGCATTTATCTTAAGTTGTGGTTAATTTCAGGGTTTGTATTTGTCTCTCTTCTACTCGTGTCGCAGAACTGGTCATCCCTGCTACAGGAAACGTCTTCTACGCCATGTCGTCATCTAGCGTTGACTTCCTGTTGAGGAGGAAAGGCGGGAACACTCCTCTGGGCTCACATCCGATCAACACGGAGACGAGCGCCACCTTTCCTCGAATCAAGGCCAAGGGGAGGAGACTGGTCAGGACACTATTTTGACCTCCGTTTTTTTCCTCAACCCAACTTTGTCCACAGTGACGGATTTTCTCTCTTCAGTGAATGTGGCCTTCCACACATGCCTACAAAGCTTGTTCTACCAAAACACCAACGCCAGGACCAAGTCTTAATCGACAACTCCAACATATCATACCTCCGGCTGCTCTGCTGCGTGCACCAGAGCCGTCTACTGCTGAAGAACAGTGTCAGTTTTCCTCTTTTCCAAACAGTATGCATTACTAAGTTACACCCAGAGGAAGAGCAATGGAAGCCTTTAACGGTGTGCTTTTGGTGCTGGCTCTCGAGTCCCAGTCAGGTAGCACTTGATTTATTTCCTTTCATTCTTACTTAATGAATAAGGTCTTTTTTTAATTGCCTACAGCCACCAGGAAATCCCCTGCTGTTGTGTGTCGTGAGTGACATTTCTAAATGTTAAAAAACAGATTTGATTGGTCAGAGCTTCTGCGATCACCTGAGATGCCGTTGAAGGATTAAGGAAAGTGTGTTTTTATGGGGAAGAAGCATAATGAAATGTAAATATACAGAGTCGGGTCCTGGTTCTGGAAGGCCCAAAGACACAGTGCAAGTGCATCACCGTAGCTTGTCAAATGAGACATATATGTATATGTTTTGTATATATTTATATATTTTGTACGTCTGTATGATGTCAACATTGTGTTTACACTGTCGAGGAGCTCTGGGTCCACATGTCCGAATTGTCTAATTCACAAAAGAAAAAAAGTGCATCAAGTACCTGCAAGATTTTCACTTTAAAGAGGCCAGCATGTGTCCACAGACAGTGAGAGTAATTATTTCAGCTTTGACTCATGCAGATACTCATTTCAACACTTAAAGCTGCATTAATCAATCTTTTAGTAATAACAATTCATTAAATTACTATTCATATTGTGAAAGGGGCTGCTTGTATTGACTAACCTAAAAAAAAAAAAAAGATCTCTGAAGCTCAATGGAGGTTTTTTTGGTCTTTTATAGCATTGGAAACTTTCTTCATGGTTCATTCTCATAGCTGTTATCAACCCTGTTTCCAGTAGCAGCTGCTTTTTTTGCCAAAAAAGCTCAGATAATCCAGTGTGTGTGCTACATGAACAACAGCAACCAGCAGACACACAAAGTTAGCGACTAGCTAGTGGAAACTATTGGAACATCTATCTGCTAAAGAGATAATTTTATTTGTTAAAGACCAAATTAGCCCCAAAAACAGAGCGATAACGCACTTATTTTTGTCAGACGGACAGAAACACAACTCCAGATCAACACTTCCTCTTCAGCTCGTTTGGAGTTCTTCTGACCCCTAGTGGCCAAAAGTTGATTATTGCAGCTTTAAATGAACCCCTTTGCAGCACTTTCAAAGCTCCTGGCTTTGCTTCAGTTTATCCGCAGTAGCTAAAACATGAGGTATGGAAAATCAAAACAATACACCACCATTATTAGGTGTCAGGTTTTCCAGGTCTGAACAGAGAATGAGCTAAACTTAAATCATGCAGATTACACATCTTCCCTGTTTACATACTTCCAATTTCATGGTGTGAATGAACACGTGTAGGTTTGAAACACACAACCTCTTTCTGTTTTTTGTTTTTTTTAAATCTGGACTTTGATAAAAGTCGTGTGACCTCTGGTTGTATCTGCTCAGTGCTGGTGAGGCCTCCTCGCTGGCTGAGGCACGAGCATTGGAGGGACCAGGGAGAGGATTCTGGGTAATAGATGACGTGTGCTAGCGTTGTGCTACGCTACCGAATTGTTTTAGTGCCTTTCTCAAACAGAATGCACATCTTCCCTCGTGTTTGCATTAGAATGTATTCAGTATACATGGAGGACACGCAGTCACCTCCTGTGCTGCGTAGTGTGACATCAAAGCTATTTATGCACTACATACAGGATGTCCTATTTTTGTGGTAATAAATTTACTTTTATATGAATTTCATTGCTTTTGACTGATGTGCTGTAACGTTTTCCACCTTCAATACAAGCATATTTTCCATGCTGCTGAGTATCCTGTAAATATAATTAAAGCCGTCTGTACATGTCAGATACACACATTTCTATTTTTCTCATGGATGAAGCGAGACAAATTTATACATCAGCGACAAAAGATACACCTGTGTTTTAGTCTTTTTATTCAGATTCAAGATAGCCAGCATATTTATCTTCAAGCTTAATCAAGGAATGTGACACAACTATAAAATCTAGGACACATAACAAAAAAAACCCGAGTTAAGGATATGTATGTCAGAGGAGCACATTAGAGATTCACAAACACTCATACAACCCAGTTAATAACACAAGCGTTCATGAAACACAAAGTATTAAAGCATTCCTCACACCCGAGTATAAATTGCACCTTTAAACAGACAACGATCATGCTGGTGAGTCAGCACTGACATACACAGTTTGCAACATTGACTCTTTAGTTTCAGTTAAAAGAATACCCAGCGGTTTTAAAGACACTTTAACAAATGCTTTCATTTAAAGTGGCCCTTTAAGGTTTTTGTGTTTTTTTTCCGAAACGAACACCATATTTCCCAGAAAGCCCTCTGCTTTCAGTCAGATTTGACTAATTGTCCTCCTCCAGCGTTGTTCTGTATGCATTAAGTTTGAAGAGGAGGGTGCAGCAGCCCTTGATAGCAGCCCATAATCGTTCTGAACAAGCAAAATGAACAAGTAAAATGTTTTTTGTGCCTTAAAGGCCCCGGAAACATATTTCCTCAATCAGCCTCTTACTGTGAGTGATGGGGTCCCACGTGAACACACTATGTTCTGCCAAACTTGGGTCACTTCCAGTTATATTAACTCTCTGTATTTCTTTTCTTTGCGCTCTTTGCACTGGTTTGAAATGGGCGGGGCTTGGTTTGAATAATGTGATGTCACATACGTCCATGCACCAATCAAGATTTAGGAACACAGTCCTGATTAGTTGAGTTTTTTTAAAGCTAAACTTGTAATAAATATTACCTATAGATGATTGTTTTCAACCTTTAGTCAGAAGTGTTTAATGATGCAGAGAAGTGCTAAAAGTGTTTTTAGGGGCTTTAAAGCAACCTATCTTAATATATTGGCTGGAATGTGTATTGCATCACCCACGTGCACGTTTCCTCATGCACAGAGTGCAGATAAAGCCACACATGAAAACCATAGCATTAAAAGTGGTCAAAACCTCCACAGGGAACCTTAAAGAAAATGATTGTAGCATCTCAGGACTATCACCAAGATCATTCATTTAAAATGCTAAACATGCTTGATTTCAAATTGATTGCCCCAGACATTAAAAGTAAATCCCACTGTACCAAACTAGTGCAAACGTTTAGCTTAAAAGCCCCACATGCCGGATATAATCTGAGCCTTAAGAACCCATGACGGCCCTCTCCTTTACCCATGGGGCTCCAGGCAGGGTATCAACACTGGATCGTCCCTCCTGCACAAGCCTCACACTCCAGCGCCGCCGTGCGATAAGCCTTCCACACCACCGGGTCCTGCAGACACACCGTGCCACCGCCTCGCATCTCCTCCGCCTTGTTCCGGTTTATGTCTCCCACGCACACCCAGCCTCCCCCGGCCCCGGCCTCCTTGGGGCTGACGGCCCACTTGGAGTGGTCCTGGCTGGCCTTGAAGGTGAACGTCTGCCCCGGGTTGATGAGCGTGATGTCCAGGACCTTCCAGCCCAGCGAGCAGTCGGAGGGGAGGATGCCCGTGGAGCGAATCCAGAACTGGACCAGGAGGTCTGACCGGAGGCTGGGGGCCACCCAGGAGTGGTACAGGTCTGGTGAGGCAGAGAGGGGAGATGGATGGGGACATGTTTTTATTATCTCTGTCTGTAAATTGTCTGCATTCTAGTAAAGTACAGAGGGTGAATAATTATTACAATTTGGCCTATTTATACCTGCAAAGAAACTTAAGGTGAGGCTGCAACAAGAAAATACTTTTTTATTGCTCCAAAATCGTACCTTGGTCAAAAGAAGACCCTTTGGCAAAGCTGATGAACTTGGTGCCGTCCTTTGAGGTCAGAGTCACGCTGCGGTTGGATACAGGTTTCATACGTGGAAAGATGTGACCAGACGGGTGTTTTTTCCCACAGACAGCAGCCAGTGCGGGCACCAGGGACGCCAAGGACTCGGGGACGTCGCAGTCGTACACATTAGGCTGATTGATCTGAAGCTGCTCTCCTGTTGGACAAAAACTAATTAGATTTAAGGCAAACGCTGCTCCCGGCACACCAGGATCACTGTATGGGTTCAGTATAGTAAATGAGCAGCGCTGTCTTGCTGACATTGGTGCGGAGGCATATCAATAACTTGCACTGCAACAGATAAGGATAATAGAACTATAGATACAGTGAAAGCATTTTACTCTTTACTGTAATGAGAAAAATCCATGTATGTATGTATCATTGGCGTTATTTTGTTGCATGTTATTTTTCTTCCTTTATGTACGTATACAATACAGTATGTAAATTGTTCCTTTATTGGCCTGTATCAAACAAACTATAAAATAGTACACAACTGCTACACATACAACACCATACACTTAACTCTGATTCTAACACAAACACATTATGCACTTCAGCTTACTGTCTCTCAAGGAGCTCCATTGGGACGGCAACTGACAATTACTTTCATTATTGATTAACCACTCCATTCCTTTCTGCTTAACTGATTCACCACTTAGTCTACAACATGTCAGTAAATGGTGAAAAATGACCATCACAACATCTCGTAGTCCAAGGTGACGTCTTAAAACTTTAAAAATTACTTTTCATCTAGCGACACCATGGTTTGACATTTTAGTTTTGCAGTGAATATACTATTGTCCCCTTTAGGATTAATTGTAATAATGTCGGTGATCCATCGACTTTTCATCTCGCACCATCATGAGGTCACATTTTTAATGGATTCAATACTTTGGTTTGTAACCAAACATCTGCAAAACTGATGACAATCCCATCAGCCTCAGTTGTACTTCGTCTTGATTACATTAACATTAATTAGCCAATGTTAGCATGCTAACACGCTAAGCTAAGATGGCGAACATGGTAAATATTATAACTGCTAAACGTCAGCACGTTAGCATCGTCACTGTGAGCATGTCAGCGTGCTGACGCAGCGTTAAGCCAAACTTAAGCCTCACCGAAGCGTGTCTTAAGACTTTTGTTGCCTCGTAAATGACTTTTAATCAAACATTAAAATAGTTTAAGTTTATATCAAATGACTGATCCATTAATCGGCTTTCTGTTTCAGCAATAACTCCATGCATGAAACATCAATAGTTGAGTTAATTTAAACATAAACAAGCATATATTTCTGACAAAATACTAGTCTCCACAAATTGAATAACCTAGGTTATTTATGGACTCGTTAAAAAAGTGTCCAATCTCAGTTTCCTCTCATTAATGTGCACTTTCAAGGTGCCCTAAAATGAAACACGACACCTTCCTGTGCTTCACATTGCTGGGTGTCCTCGTTAGCCTGGACACACGCCTCACTCTGAGCATCCCAGAGACTCACGAGAGAGCCTCTGATGGAGCGAACGCATGCCGCAGTGTGAAGGCCAGTATCTCTATGGTAACACGCCTCAATCGAATAACATTACCCCGGGCACTGCCATAGCAACTGGGTGAACTTCTGAGTCAGTCAGCCCGGGGACATGGTGATCACACCTGTTTATGCTGATTATCTGGGATCTGCATGATCTTGTTGTAGTCGTGTCAAAACCTGACAGGATTATGAAGTACTGGGGGGACCAGACAATAACGACCGAAGAAATCCCTTTCAAGATGAGACAGGATGACAATTATTGATGGTTTCAGCCTTAGAAACAGCATTTACACCTTAATGGGAAAGTAAGACTCACCTGAAACGTGCTGAAACCTGTTTTCACTAAGCAGCTCTTTAAGGCAGAGTAACATCAGGGAAACTCTTATACATGTAATACGTGTCATTATAGGTTTAATAGACTTCGTCTTCCCTGAAGAAGCGCCATTACATTGGCAGGGGATTACACCATTGGCTGATATTAAAATTCAAAATTCAAAATTCTCACCATCACTTACAGAGCACTTCACGGTCAGGCTCCTACTTATGTAGCTGATCTACTTCACCCATAGTCACCCGCCCGCACTCTCAGGTCAAACGCTCTAGGTCTTCTGTCAGTCCCACGCACACGATTTAAGACCCGTGGTGACTGAGCCTTTGAGGCAGTGGCGCCGAGGCTCTGGAATGCTCTGTTTGCAACTCTACGCCTCGCAGATACTGTGAATACTTTTAAAAAACAGCTCAAAACCCACCTTTTTAGGCTGGCGTTTGAGTAAAAACCCATGTCCTAGCCCTGCTCTTAAAATGTTTTAATTTTTATTATTTTATTTTTTATTTTATATTTTATTTTTCTCTGTGTATGTAATTTATTGACCCTAGGGTCACATTGTGTTTTTTATGCTTTTAAATTTCTGCTCTGTTAAAGCACTTTGTGATGTTATGTCTGTGAAAAGCGCTCTATAAATAAATTTCATTCATTCATATGATAACTTGTAATTTTAAATCGAACGCAAATGGAAGGAGTCTGTGTATTTATGTATGTCTGTCCTTGAATTTTCTCGACAACCGTTCATCCGATCGACTTCACTCTTGGTGGGTGTCTTGCTCAGGACCCAAGGAAGCGCAGTGTCGAGTGTGATGTTGTTTGGATGATCGGTTCTCGAGAAAGCTGTTAGCATCAATACCTAACGGGCACAAAATAACCGCATTTCAGAAGCTACTGCTATTGTCTATTTAGCAAAATATTACCTTTTTTACCAATATAAATATGAGTTTTAAAAGGAATTCCTACTGAATTATAGTATATTCATTCCCTCATATATAATAGCAGTCAGAAGGCAGGGGATCAATCGTTATCAGCTCCCAGGTCTCATATAGCAATTGTGGTCTAATACCTTCAACATTGCCATTATAACAGCTCTGTGCTGTACAGCCTCACTGCAGGACTCCAGTCTTACCGATGGTCTGGAAGCGGTCGAGCGGGTAGGTAACGCAGATAAAGTTTTGCCCGTTGATCACACCGCTGCTGGGGTAGTAATACTGTCCTGCCTGACGTACGGGAGGGAAGTGAGGCGTGCTGTGGACCAACCAGAAGCCCTGATTTTTATCCAGCAGGACAACACCTGAGGAAACAGAGATATGAAGATTGTCAGCAACAAGAAAGTACTGAAAGTATCCAAAACTAAATCAACTGTGCTCATTTATCTTGTTGATCTCTAAACAGAGGAGCTCCATATTCAGGTGACAATTCTTCATCAGTACCAGCTCATCCCTGTCACGTTGTCATTTTATACATGCTATGATAAAAAATATCATTTACTTTTGGATACTTTCAGTTCGTAATTTGTTTGGCCTTAAACATGATTTGTGCTGTTTTAAAATCAACCAAGTCTCTGAATTTCAGTAGCTTTGTTTTGGTATTTTTGGCGACTCTTCTGGGTCTCTTTTACGTAAATAGGATTAACATTTGTTTTATATGTATTTCCATGTGTGGATATATGGAATACAAGGTGTATATTGAAGCTTGATTTATGAAATATTTAGTTTCATACAGTGTTGCAATAGACTTTGTCATTTTTGATTTTACACAATTTATACAAAGTACAAACTTGCACATATCTGCTGATTTTGAGTACAAAGCCAAATCTCTGGAAGCCTATCTGGGCTATGCAGGAATTGGAGCTGGACTGCTGTGGTGTTCACCTTTTGTGTGCCCCCCCTTGCTGTTGCCAACCCATCCATTACCAACGTCCTCAGCTGGCCTCTGGTCATTGTAAAGGATGTACGCTACCTCTGTGTCCTGTGAAGAGGAGAGCGGTTCACTGAAATTAAAAACAGTGTTCTTGGGCACATACCGAACACAAGAAACACACACACACACACACACACACACACACACACTTTAACTGAAAAACACAGTTAAGTTGATGTGTACAATCATAAATGTTTTGTGTGATCCTGCTGCTGAAACAACTATATTATCGTACCCACAGCTGTTCAGAGACAGTCAACAAGTAACTTTCAGTTCCCATTTCTTAATCTGATATAATATGTCAAGTTGTCATAGCAGACGTTTTTTTTTTAAAAAGGCTTACCGCTGCATTTAATAAGTCTTTTTATAAAATGAGAAGTCTGTAGTGAAACAGCAGAAGCAGGCAAAACTAAATAAAATCAGCTGATGTCTGTAAGATAGTGTGGACATTAAAGAAAAGGGCAAATAAATGTAATATTAATGCAGCAGGAAGATTTATAACCACTATGGCAAAAGCTAATGAGGATTCAGATAGATAATCTGTATTTTTTAAGGATATCATTTGCAATTTAGGGACCTGTCAAATAAAAAGTGAAGTCCGGTCTGTCATAAAAAGAAAATTATGACTTTGATATGGCCATTTCGCATGAATCATGCATGTATTTGAAACGTGAATAATAAGGAAATGAAAATTCTAATAACTCTGTATCACATGTAGAAGGACGTTGACTTCCACCTGGGTGATTTCCTGAGCTCACTACGTTTAGTTTTAGTATTTGTTCCACTTTTGTTACAGATGAAGAAGACACCTGGCGGGAACACACCTGTCCTTGTGAGTACAGTTGTCCGACTGTTCTGCCCAGAGCCCCCGTGGTGTCGTTCACTGTCTCCTTTCCTTTAGTCCATCCTTCACTCCCCCTTTCCAGCAGTAAATACATCTCACCCTGATGGGGAGATTTTTCATGTTCTTTAGGCAGCTTGTACACATAGAACCTAACACAGAGAATGAGGCAGTGAGTGCATCTGAGGAAGACATTTGGAAAGCTGTAAATGAGCTTCACACGACACTGGTTTGCAAAGTATTGTTTCAACTTCCTACGAGGCTTTCTTAAGTCACCTAACAGGGCTAAAAATAAAAAAAGCATGAAGTGTATTTATAAAAGATGGCTTTGCCCAGGACTACTGTCAATGAATTACCAATCAACAGCATCTCCTTGGTCGTTGTAGCAGGTGATTGGTGAGGTATCGCCCCCTAGTGGCACACAGAAGATCAGCAGGGACAGGAACAGAAGCGTCTGAGAAGAAGAGACAGACTTATATTAATCATTACATATACATACATGTACATATATATATATACCTGCCATTTATGCATAAAATTGCTTTAGTGATTAAACAATTCACAATTGTCTTAAAGAGAGGTTACAAAAGTAACAGCAGCTAAATGTAGGCTACTTAAAGTACCAAGTAAAGTAAAAGTACTCATCGTACACAAGGACTCATTTCAGAATAATAAATCTATATCTTATATTTGGATTATAATCATTGATGCAGTCATATGCAATCACCACTTTAATGTTGCAGCTGGTAAAAGCAGAGTAATCTATTACTATTGTATACACCACTGGGAGGCTTAATCTCAAATAATACATCTGGATTTATCTGTTTGTTTGTATTTTGTATTCATAATGTAAAGTAACTAAAGATATATAAATGTAGTGGGGTAAAAAGTACAATATTTCCCCTTCGTTTAAAGTTGCATACAATGGAAATACTCAAAGTACAAATACCTCAAACACGTACTTGAATACAGTACGTTACTTGAGTAAACGCACTTCTACATTTCAACACAGGTTCAGTCAGGAAGGTTATTAGTGAACACAGTTAAAACCGATGCAAATGTAGTGAACGAAAGCTCAAACTGAACTTTAAAGTATAAATCACAGTACACGTTATAGCCTAAAGTTACACGTAAAAGTAAAACTACACGTTGACCTTATTGCTAACTGCTTATAACACTAAAGGAAGGTAAAGTCACATGTAAAGCTTAATGTAACCATTTAATACACACCTCTGGCAGAATGCGTGTTTCCTCATTCATCTCCTCAACAGATTATAAACCTGATCTCTGCTTGAAGTTTGATCTTCATCGACATCCTTGTTTAACTCATTTCTGGGACCACAACAGTAGGATGAGGAAGTGACGTCACGCAACCGTTGGCTTCTTCAACAACACTCACACGTTCAGACGTTTTTACTGCAAAATGTTTAAAATGTACGAAACATCAACGGAAAAAAATATGGTTGAACTCTTAGACTTTATATTAGAAGGTTAAACTTAAATGCTGCGTAAACTCTTCGCTCACGTCTTATCCTTCCTTTCAGTCAACTGACCAATGGCGTCATTCGGTGGGCGGGGCTACACAGAAAAATATGGCCAAGTATGTAAACACGTAACATGGTATCTTTCAATGCACTCAGTGTACTTATACACACATTGAGTTGAGATAACAGCTAGGAACAAGGACAACAAAGCTGGACAAATTAAGTTAAAGGTTAAGGAATAGACAGCACTATTATTATGTGGACGAGTATCTGGAAAATAGGTACATAAATGTAAAGCGGGCACAGCTAAAGAAAAATTAAAATAAATACAAAAATAGACAAATTAAAAAAAAAATTTGAAGTCCTGATTAAGTGATATTAAAAGATAAATAATGTTTTAATTTACCAAGAAGTAGCCTTCTTATAAATGCAACATATATAATATTAAAGTTATGAAATGTAAGTTGATACGATATGATCTATAGGGGGAGGATAGCTATACTGTATCAATATCCAATACTTTAAAATATTTTATAAATTTAACCATTTTCATCCCCCCCCCCCTAAATGAGACATGTTCAGTGTTTTCTACCTTTCGGTAGAAAACACTTGGGTCTTGGGTCTTGGGTGGAAAAGTCTCTGAAAGGATCCAGCTTGGATAGACAGTAAACCTCTGCAGATAAGTTAGAGTGTGAAGGTTTCACAGACCTAAACACTCCTGAAACCACCACACTAGAAGGAACTCTCAGTCAGCCATCTTAAATTAAGTTAATAATGGCAAACACATGTTGACTTGGTCAATACCATAAAAATGATGCAGTATCTTGACCCAACCTTGGTAGGCGGAGGTGTTGAACTCTTACCACCTTAAAAGTGGAACTAGAATCTGGATAGTTGTTGTTTCTTCCTGTTTTAGTGTGGTTTATTTCTCGTTCGATGCTTTTCTTCTTCTCCTCCTCCTCTGTTCCTCTTCTTCGTTTGAAATGTTTATCTACCATTTGATCATTTGGAGCTTAGGCCGAGAAAACAGCTGGTTACGTGAGAGAACAATGACTGTCACCAAGAACGGGAAATACATCATAACCTTTAACCTTTCATGTGAAGTCTAACCTTTTAGTTAGCTGATATGTTAATCGATCTCCCCTATTTACTTATGATTAAACAAAAATACATTACCTTTAGAGACAATTTTTGTGTGCTTCCAATCACTTACAATTAGTTTTCTCCTTTTAACGTGGAGCTCAACCTGCAGTGTTGATCAAAACATCGCTATCACATATCACATAATTGTGCTCTGTTTGAGGAAGTGACACAGCTTCCTCTCGTCACCTCTAACTTTACTGATGCAGACTGACCAGGACTTCCTCAAAAACTTTTCCTCTGAGCTGAGAGGACGAAACACACATTGGAGCAGCTGGATTATCACATGCATGCAGCATTGAAGCAGTGGTGTATAAAGTACCCAAAAGCCATACTTGAGTAAAAGTAAAGATACCTTACTGGAAAACTACTCCAGTAAAAGTAAAAGTCACCTATTAGAATACTACTTCAGTAAAAGTCTTAAAGTATCTAATATTTATTGTACTTAAGTATCAAAAGTAATTTTCTGATATTAAATGTATTTAAGTATAGAAAGTAAAAGTACAAGTAAACGCTGTTAATAAAAAAGCAAAGCGTCAGAATTATGAAGTTTATTCTTTTAAGTGCTGTGGCACCATGACCAAGGACAAGGAGTTGTGTTGACAATAATTGGGTTGGCTGTGATCCATCCAGGAGCAACAATGTTCAACATAATATATTGTACATAAGTATACTTTTGCATCTACTATGAACTTATCATCATAATTCTCCGAAAAGCAATATGACACTATGAAGGAGTTGTAACAGTGCGTTTATAAGTATGCTCATTCCGACTAGAGGATGTAGAGGGCAAATGCATCATATTGTGTTCAGCAAAAAATATCCACTTGATGCATCAGGTCAGTGTTGTGAGAAAGGACACCTGCCTTGTAAACTCCTATGGGCCTGATTTGAACACAAATCCACAAAATGACTCAAATATCAAAACATGATCAATACTAAAGCAGCAACCCAGTCATTACTTGAAACTGAAAAATGTCCTGTTCATCTTCAAAAGAAGTTGGTTTTCAAAATTGCGAGAATTCAGTCTCGCTCTTCTTGGGCTGAAGACTAGTCCTGCGATGCTAACTAGCCTTTCACAGGCCGCTGAGGCAGGTAGAGGTGTGTTCAGCTTCACACACAGCTTGCGCACAGCTGGGAAGGATTTCCCTAATGCTAACCCTAATGCTAACCCTAATGCTGCGCTCTCGCGGCTCCTGTCAATCCTATGGTGTGGTGGCTAGCTACAGCTAACGTTAGCCAACTAGTGCTGCACAACTGTCAACACTTCCTCAGCTCACTAACTCGCTAGCGATCCACGGGTGTTGGTCTTCGTCACCACCGTCGTTTGTTTCGGGAGTAGCAGGTGCTTCCATTTCCGCTTCCGTTATGAAATCAGTCATCGTAGAGTGGAATTCTACTCATGTAGTCGCTCGCTAGCTATAGCATATAGCATCCTGGGCATCACTGGGAATCTAAACACCGCTGCTTTGAGAGCACTTGTTTGCAATTGCGCATTAACGTGATTAACCAATGATTTAACTTGCAAGCTAGGACCACTGATTCACCAAACCTGCTTGTTGCAGTCTGTGTTCCACCACAGTCCCCGACGCTGGTCTCATGACTCATTTTGTTTCTAAAGATAGATTTGATTTTGTAGCGAGTAACGAAGGTTTCAGGGGAAATGTATCGGAGTAAAAGTATCAGTTTTCTTTGCAAAATGTAGTGAAGTAAAAGTAAAAGTAAACAGAAATAGTAAAGTAAAGTACAGATATCCAAAAAAACGACTTAAGTACAGTAACGAAGTATTTCTACTTCGTTACTATACACCACTGCATTTAAGTACATCAGGACTTTAAAAAACAAGCTGAGTAACTGTTCTGATAGCAGCAAATACTGTAAAGCGGTGTTACTGACAGTGAACTTCACAGTTAATACTATATTTATGAGTCAAACTGTCTTTGAGTCCTCTAATAAATATTAATACTCCATAAAAACACATTAAATGTGTAAATCTCCTCTTTGCCTTTGGAATGTAACCTTCAATAAAAATGACAAAACTGGGGAAGTCCATTCATTCTGTGGAAAAATGAACGCCTTTATCTTTGCTGCATGAATGGAACAATACCACCTTGTGTCTATCTATATGAATGTTTTGATTCATGTTTTAAAGATTAGACACCATCCCAAGTTTGTGGGAATGTGACTTGTGAGCAAGGGAATGACGATTACTGATAAACGCAAACAAAAGAAGAGGTTTTACACATCCTCGTTAGTGTCTGCTAAAATGTTTGCGATTACAGGCTTGTGTGTTTGATAGGTAAAAATAATCATAATGAGGGGATCATTAGAGCGTGTTAAATCGGTTTCTCTCCTGACAACATCGGAGACAAATTGAATAAATGCAAATGGCTCAGATAAACATTTTGTTTATTTTCTGGAGGAGAATCATCCATTTACAGTCAAGCACGGTGTGGCCTTGGAGCTATTATCTCCTGAACACCATCCCTGGTGTGTTTAATGTCTGCTGTACAAACAAGGAGAAACAATAGGGATCAGTAGACTGTCTCCTCCACATTAACAACGGGAACACGCACAAAATCATTCAAGCACTCGTCACATACACTCAATAAAATACATTTTGCGACATAAGAAAGCATATCTGCTGATCCTATTTACTAGGAAAGAAAAGACTAACTGGCCGTACACTTAACAATCTCATCGTTAAGATCTCTTAAGTTGCATTAAAAGCTCTGTTGCTCAAACATTGCTGTTTTTTGCACTGACCAACGCTATCAAGAGGGATACAAATCCCCTGAAACAAAGCATCATCGGGGTCAACGACAAAAAAACAACTTGTTTTGACAGAAAATAGGCTAAAAACGCTACAATACTGCTCCCACAGTAGCCCCACGTGGTTTTTTGCTTGTTTTCCATATCAGGTTTGCAGCATGCCCGGTAGTTCAGTCCTCTGCTCGTCCATGCGTCCCCCCTGGACCCTCAGGAGCAAGGAGAAGAAGTCCTCATCGTCCATGGGACCAGGAGCCCTGCTGCGCTGATCCTCCAGTCTGCCCTGGGCCTGCAGGTGGAAGGTAAGTGAGGAAATGAATGCCTGACATGATGCATTTCATGCAAACAACAAGTCCTAGTGTCATGGTAAAACCTTTAATCAGACTAGTTGTGATTGCTTACTTGTGTTGTGAGAATCATATTGTACAGATCTTCTTTGGGCACGGGGACGGGTGCTGGTGCAGGCGCGGGCCTTTTCACGAAAGAGAGCTGCTTGATGCTGCCTCTGAAACCTCTGGATTTCGGTTTCGGTGGACGAGACTTTTCGAGCTGCGCCCTCTGGTCATCCAGGCGGCGAGCCTGAGCGGTGGCCACCAGCTCGAAAAACTCCTCTTTCTGCAGTGAAGTCATGGAGGAAAACACGACTGCGGAGAATTGAGACAAAAGAGCTTTGCTGGTCAGATGGAAGGTGACCTTAAGTGGTCTGTGGTCGCGGAGAGAAGTGGAAACATGCCGTTCTAACACACTCTTGAGTCACAGAGTGCGGGGGCTTTCATGCAGTCTCAGCTTGATCAACATGAGTCAGCATCATTACATGGAAACAAATGCAACAGCTGCAGCAGTTTCTTCACTTTCACACTGAAAACAAAGTAGAGCTTCTCAAATAGTCCCCCACCTCTGTTGGCCGGCTTGGAGGTGTTGGGCTCAGAATAGCACCTCCTCCTCCTCATCCCACCCTCCAGCCGGAAGGAGCAGCGCTGGTCATTGAGCCGTCTCCCCTCCGTAAGGGTGCAGAGCAGCTCGTACAGGGCGTCCGGGAAGTCAGGAGTTAACCGGTGAGCCTGAGAAAAAAAACGCGGGGAGGTGGTAGAAAAAAAGAAAAAAGAGTGAGCGAGTGAGGGAGGAAAGGTTTTGTCAGTGAGTGGTACGGAATGTTTGTTGGCACAGCAGAAGAATTCACCCGACTCCTACGTACTCTCACATGCTCTGAAACCTACCTGTTGTTTTTCCACCACGAGATAGTTTCTCTCATAGATTACATGTGCAAGCAGTAATCTCAGGGCATATGCCAAAGCTAAAGCTAAATAACAACAGTCCACAAACCTTTTTTGGATCCTCTTCTTGGTTTTCTGTCCCTTCAGGTTGTTGCTCAGAGGAATTTAACCTCTTAATGTCCACTTGAGGGTCTTTTTGTGTCGCCTTTTCATCCTCTGTGTCACCGGCTTTCTCAGGTTTCCTATTAATCCTCATCATCTCATGTGTCTGCCCTCCACTCTCACCACCACCTCTGTTCTGTCCGTCCGTCTCTTCAGTCACAACAACCTCCCCCGTCTGGTCGTGCTCTGCGTTGGTTCGTTGCTTCTCCGCTCCTTCCTGCTCTTCAAAACACATTTCTTTTCTCGCCACATCGTCTCCGCTCTTGTCCTCTCCTGTGTGTTCCGCTTCCTTTTTCGGAGCCGTCTCTGCGCCGCAGCTCTGCACGCCGACAAGTGAACTGCTCGCTGGCCCCCGTTCGGTGACGCTCTCTGCCATGTCTCCCTCCTCGGTGATGACGAGACGCTCCACAAGACCCTCCTCAGCCATTTCAACTTTGATCTCTGTGCGGGTCTGGTAATCCCCCTGTCAGCCTCTGACAAGAAGCCACACAGAAACAGGGTTTAGGTCAAAGACTTGGCAGCACCCCATTGTTAATACTCAAAACATTACATTTCTCAACCCTGAAGTTACTCAGAATAGACATGAAAACTGCTAAAGAGCAGCTGTGGGGGTTTTTTCTCTCTTGCAAAGAAATGTATGAGAAACCAGTTTGGCAGGTTCGAACATGTTTCAGCCAGGAAATCCAAAAGTAAATCATATATTCCTCTTTGACTTACTGCGTGACAACAAAGGTGTGTGACAGCATGTTCGGAGATGATAACCTCTTGCCGCTGATTGATTTCTGTTGTATATTCTGCCTAAAGTTTCACCGTGAGTCGTGTTGTTTTGCCACACAGGTTGCCTTGTATACTATACAGAAGAAAAAAGTAAATTCATTCTTACCTTTATTGCCTAAACTTTGTCTCTTCAAAGCATCATCCCTCGAGGTCACCACAGACGGAGCACAGCATTTTTGGCTTGTCACTTGTCTTGATAATCTCTTTATAAAGAAGAAGAAGAAAAGCAGCAATGAAGAGTTTCACGTGTTGACGTGAGAAGCTCTCGCCCTTTCTGTCTGCCTTGCTACCTTCTCTCACTCCTCTCTTCCTGTTCCTCTTACCACAGCCCACCCTTATTTATGCGGCCCGCATCTGACAAGCCATGCTATTGTGACATATGACTGTTAAAAAAGCAGAAGGAACCCTCATGGTGCACTTTGGTTAGTCTGGTCCAAAGAAAAGGTTTTCGTCTTTTGAGATAAACTTTGTTTTGTTAAAAGCAGCTACTGCTTTAACTGCTGCTCATTTGTTCATTACAGACCCGACTGCAACATGTTGAAACAGGCGCACAGTACTCTTCCGACACTGATGTGGTTTTGGCACACTTCCTGTTGACTTGCAGCTAAAACGAGAAGTTAAGAGTCAGACAAGTGAGAGAAGCTGTCACGTTATACCAGAGACATTAAAAAACAAATGATTATGTCGCTGTTGATGCGTGTAACTAGGATGACAATAGAGCACATGATCACCATTTGAATTAGTTTGATCTCATTCATATTGTTCCATGACACACACTCACAGTTCTACTTTGTGAGAATGCAGGGAGTGCAGATGTTCTGTTGTGGTTACATTTAACCCAGCAGTGCTACTTCACTGTCGGCTGTGCAGCGTGTTGTTGACATGGCTTGTACCTTTTCCTGTCGATCGCTAGGGGATCCCTGCTCTGTGCTCCGATGCCCGTGTGTTGACTGTCTGTGAGCACAGTTTGGGCAGCAGTCGTCGCCACTGTGCGTCGCTGAAGATGTTGCAGCAGCAGCAGCCTCTGACTGGCAACGGGCCCTCCAACGGCCGGGGACTCGGCGTGAGCGGCCACCCCGGGATGCACGCGCTTAACTCGGTTCATCAACCTTCCCAGCATCGGTCCGACGGGGGGGACTCGGGCCTCGAGGGCACAGAAAACGGACATGAAAACCGCAGAGATATTGGTGACATACTACAGCAGATAATGACCATCACCGACCAAAGTTTGGACGAGGCACAAGCAAAGTTAGTATTAGCTTTGATTTTTTTTTTATTTGCCTATCGACGCTGCAACGTTGTGTGTTTCCGCTTTGTCGACTAAGACTCGCATTGACAAAAAGTTTCGTGAACCTCAATCTTTTGTTTAGATTATTTAGCTAGTTGCTAACCAATTAGCAACGGGTTGCTAACGAAAACGACGTGGTTTTGCTCTAACCTGTTCAGACTCGTATGTCGTTATGTTAGCCTATGCTGATTGCTTCTCTGTTGTCATTTACTAACACCTAACGTTATGTATTTTGGCAGCGGTGGTCTCAAACCTACGTTATCGTTAGCCACAGTTAGCTTGCGTCAACCATGGCTAACTAGCTAAGGCTACAATGAGCAGCTAGCAGGCATTGAGCGCTAATGCGAACGTTAAATATGTAGCTTCCTGCACATGTTAACACCCAATTATTTGGGAACCACATTTAAATGCGACTGAATCTACTGACTGTCATTTACAGACATATTACCAGGGAACGGTTACCCTCTTGGCACTTGGCTTGTCAGAAGCTAGCTAAATTAGCCATGGGAAAGGTAAACGTAGCTGTTGGTTGGCCACTCACTTAATTTCTGTTTTTGTTTTGGTCAATTTGAATATCGACACTCTACCGCATGCTCACTGTTAGCCTGTTGTGCTAATTTTAGCTACAAGTCACGCTTTTTCTTTCTGCACAGGAAACATGCCCTCAACTGTCACCGAATGAAACCTGCGTTATTCAGCGTCCTGTGTGAGATCAAGGAAAAAACCGGTAACGTTGCTTTAAGATCATTTTGATGTTGTCGGTGTCAACCATCGTGCATTCAAAATGTGAACCCGCCTTTGCTGCGTTTTTGATGTGCAGTGGGGTTTGTTGCCGCGTTATTAGAATGTGTTGACAGTGTGTCATCAGAAACCAATACAATCATACACACTGCATACCAGGAATATGACTCCGGTTGTCAGTAACTCTATATCTTGCAATGTCAGAACCAAATGTGCAGGGACATGGACGTCTTTATGTTAAACACTATATGGTGTAAAAATAGAGACAAATGACAGCAGCTGGTCAAAGAGACAATGCCTGCAGGACAATACATGTTACAGGTTGCTTGATGAGAGTACAGTACTGGCAACAGTTTATGTTACAGAAAAATAGAGGGTGTTGAGTAATGCTGCTAGGTATGTTCATGTATGATTTAAAAAAATATTTGATTTTATCTTTTGTTGTAAAAGCAAGCAGTTTTTAAAAATACTTTTTAAAAATCCTGCAAAGACACCGTAGAGGTTGCTTTCAGTCCAGCGAAATTGCATTGCACTCAGCCCCTCAACAGGATGATCTGATGTGGGTAATAGATAACTATTGAGCAGATAGATTACTGTAAACAGGATGTGAGAGTGATGCACATAATGAGGTGATGGCACATTATTACTAGGTAATGACTACCACACTTCCGAACACAGTGCATTGGTGTTTCTATTGGCTGACCCTGTGTACTTATGAGTCAACTCTGACCTACAAGTTGCACCAAAACAAGGAATGAGTCCATGAATTCAGCAGTTGCATAGGCTTCAGTTGATGTGAATGCGAGAAGTATGATACGACTGTACTTTAAAGCAACATTAACACACATTCATACAGTCTGCTGTTGGTTCTTCACCCACAAAAGCCAATTGACATTTGTCTCATCGACAGGCCTGTCAATGAGGAACGCCCAGGAGGACGAGTCCCAGGATCCTCAGCTGGTGCGATTGGATAACATGCTGTTAGCGGAGGGTGTGGCGGGGCCCGAGAAGGGTGGTGGGGCTGCCGCTGCGGTGTCTGCTGCCACCAGCTCGGGGGGGCTGTCACCCGACAGCTCGCTCGAACACTCCGACTACAAAAGCAAGTTGAGCCAGATTCGCGGTATCTACCACACTGAGCTGGAGAAGTATGAGCAGGTACCGTGTCGCAACAGGAGACGAGCGCTGACACTGTCCGTACATGCTTGCTTGTACTAAAGCTGCTCGCCAGAAGCATAATGCAGTGGCATGTTGGGTCTAGGGTGCAGTCACATAACTTCTTTGCCGGGGAATACACTACTGTCTTTATCTTGCTAATCAAAACACACCAGGTATAGGCTCCATACCGCTGTATGACAAGAGGCTTTTTAAGAACATCAGGGTAACACGCTTTCCAACCTACACCAAAGCCTGATTGTTTGCTATTATTCAAAACCCTATTCACCATATTGTTTACTGACCTTTAAATTATTCTTTAAATTGTTTAAGTGGCCTGTTGAGCATGTAAGACAAAGCAACCCTTTTACAGGAAAGTTGTATAGAGTTCAGCTGCTTTATGGATATACCACACCTTTAGTAATGATGCTTATGCATGCTACATGCTTACTGACGAGAATAGCAATACTAAGCTGCCAGTTTTCTGAATCTTTTGTCGTGACATTTCATTTTCTTCTCTACTAAAACAAAAAAAACGAAAAGATTCAGAACAGGCGTTTCTAAATAACATCAAACTAACATGAAATAATACACACAGCTTCATTGCTTTGCGCATTTCTGTCCTTCACTATTCGTCATTTCATGTGCCCCCACCGCCACCTAGGCATGCACGGAGTTCACCACCCACGTGATGAACCTGCTGAGGGAGCAGTCGCGCACGCGGCCCGTGACTCCGCGGGAGATTGAGCGCATGGTGGGCATCATCCACCGCAAGTTCAGCACGATCCAGACCCAGCTGAAGCAGAGCACTTGTGAGGCAGTCATGATCCTCAGGTCCCGCTTCCTCGATGCCAGGTAGTGTGTGCGGTTGTTGGTGTTTTTGTTGAAAGGAATACTGAACTGGAAATCTTTTGAGTAGGCTTGCACTGTGGCATTGATCGGGTTGCACCTTTCCCCTTTTTGGAGGACAGTAGCTGTAGTCAGCTTGGATTCTCAACAATTATTATGGTTTTAAATAGTAAATGAGTGCAAAAAAATCGAACGTGACAAACATTTTTGTTGAAATACTAATGCCCCTTTTTCCGATATATTATCATGTCAATTTGTACCTTTTTATTCACGTTTAAAGGTAGAATATATTAACTTTTGATGAGCATATTTAACCAACAGTAGCCATTTAAAGCTGTATGTGCAAATGCACAGGAATGGGACCTTTGACCGCATCTTAAAACTAACTATTTTTTTATCACAGTTGCTTTTTTCCAATACTTATCACCTGTTTGTGTCTCATCAGGCGCAAAAGGCGCAACTTCAGTAAGCAGGCCACAGAGGGCCTGAATGAGTATTTCTACTCCCACCTGTCCAACCCTTACCCCAGTGAAGAAGCCAAAGAGGATCTCGCCAAACTGTGTGGAATCACCGTCTCTCAGGTAAACCACTCGCTGTACTTTTAGCAACCAGCAGCTTTGGGAAGATTGAGGTTTTTTTTTTTTTTTGTTCTGACAACATCTAAGAAGAACATTCAATGTTCCTTAAGCTGTGTTTCATTGAGGTTTAAAGTCGGTGAACAAATAAAGTTTTTCTGCTCTCAAGCTTAAAGACACTGCTTTTGCTGTGTATGTGTTGGATTTAATGTTCAGGGTTGATCAATCATTCTCTAGCGTGTTCACTGAGCCTGGTATTGTCTTTTTCGCTGCCAGGTGTGCAACTGGTTTGGCAACAAAAGAATCCGCTACAAGAAAAACATTGGCAAGTTCCAAGAGGAGGCCAACCTTTATGCCATGAAGACGGCCTTGGTGGTCAGACCGGGCGACGATTCCCCGCACACTCCCAACTCCACAGGTACCAAAAGACGAGCACAGCCACAGTGTGCAACCTGCTCGCCTCGAGGCAGTTCCGCCCTTCTTCTCACTCATCTTAGTCCATGTCCCGGGAACTTGTCAATCATATGGCTGAGCTGAACACAATGCATAACCCGAGGCTGAGGAAAAAGGGACAATGCCCGGCGCCGTCGGGCATTGAGGAAGCAACAAAGACAACTTGTAATGCCAGTTTTTGGTGTTTGTCTTTGAACTGCTGCACAATTAAGTTTGCACTGGTTTTTACAGCATTGTTCTTTAGTAACTTACAAGCTACAAGCCTCACTTTTCCTGCTATAGCTCAGTTTGCTACTGACTTTGATTAGCTGGGGAGCTAGTGTATGACTCGTAATGTGACAGCTGAGACAGTAAGATGCTGAGACACCGGTCACAAACTGAGGCTTGATATAATGCAGAGCGTTTTAATTCTTTTTTTTGTTTTTGCACATTGTTGGTCTTTGTTCCCTATTGAAAGACATCCTGACTCTTCACATTTGAAGGCAATATAATACACAATATAAAATTCCATTATACCCTTAATAGCATGTTCATAGTGCTGCTACAAAATAACTGAAACTGACTCAGGTTGCTCTTGTTTTTGTCTTTCTTAAGGATCTGGGTCCTTCTCTCTGTCTGGGTCAGCTGACCTGTTCCTCGGGGTTCCGCCTGTGAACGGCGAGCAGTCTGCTTACCAAGTTGGAGTGCAGGTACTTTAAACCACTTATGAAGTAGTGACACACATATTTACATGATAAGGATGGCCGGTGACTCAAATTCAGTGCCACGTCGCTATTTTCCGAGCTGCTGCCGCTGTCCTGTTTGTCGTCGCTGCGTCGAGGCTTTCGTCATGGAGTAGTAGACGTGGTTTCCTCTCTTAACCCCTTGCCCACTTTTTTTGCATTTTTCAAAATTATGAAATTCCTTACCCGGCTCTCAGGTCCTGTCATGTCAACAATTCCAATAAGCACTTGATATGTAACATAACTTTGACAAAGCAACACCAGTCGTGAGGTTTAAAGTGGTGGATTGCCTATCTCAAATGAGTTTTTAGACTTTTGGAATTTATTTTCACACATGAACTGTGATGGTGAATGTGAGATCAATCCAAAACATCTTGAGATTGCGTAGAATAGTTGGCAGTAATGTGACTCATGTGCAGTTGACACAAGTCACAACTTGTTTATCTTTCGATTTCTCAGTCTAACGGGAACTGGCAGGGTCGAAACTCGCCCGGCGCCTCGCCCCACAGCGACCACTCGGAAAAATCTGACTGAAGGCCCCGCCTACTGGCACAGAACGACAGCGACGGAAAGATTGACGACGGAAAAGACAAGAAGAATGATATCACACTTCCCACTTGGCTGCAGTTGTTTTTGTACGTTGTTTGTTTGGTTTGACTATTTTAAATGTAAGTTGTGTTTTTTGTCTTTTCTCACCGCTCAGCGTGGTTCATTAGTATGTTTAGCTGAATGCACGGATGCTGGAGTGTGTGTGTGTGTGTGGTTGGTTGGTTGGTTGGGGGTGTGTGTGTGTGTGTGTGTGTGTGTGTGT